AAGGTTATAAAACCACCTTTTAAGATCATTTTAGTGAAAGTTTCTTGTTCCTATCTCATATAATTTAAGAACAATGATGAATAAATCATTTTCGAGCAAAATTTAAATGGACGGCTGAATATATTACCGCCGGAGAGACAAGGCAGCGGAATTTAAATGACCACGCAAAAGGGTTAATGATGGTCCAAAATGTAATCCAGTACAACTGTTCACAGATCAGAGCCTTCACCTCATCTAAAATATTCGTATACTAGAACAGGCATGTCAAACTCAACTTGTACAGAGGGCCACCTCAGCCTTATAAATAATGATCCAGGGCCGATCTTCAAAATAGAAATATACATTAGATTTTGATACAATGAAATTTAATTCNCCATTTTTCTTGAAAAACACGGCGCTCACTTTCAGTAGTTCTTTTTTTGCTACTTGAATTTTTTAAAAGCGATGTTGCCCTTTAAAAGTTACTGTACATATGCAAGAAAACTCGTAGTTGATAATTTAATGTTTAATTATAACCTTTATACGTTCATCACAATGTAACATCAGCACCTGTCGCTGTGTGAAAATGAACTGAATGACAATGTACAAGAGACTACCGGACTAGTAGGAAGGTGTATCTTGTCTCAATGGTCATAAAAGTGAAAGTTTGCTAGCAGCCCATTAGACAGTGGCTGGGGGTTGCAAGCTAGTTTTGAAGGTAGAAATCCCTTGCACTTGTCTATCAGTTGCCACCTTCCTTGCATTCTTACTACGCCTCCAAAAGGGATTCTTGGAAATACTTGGGGTGGTGAGGCCTTGCGGATTTTAGCGCATTACCCTTCTGAAATACAACAGTTTGTCCTTCACGAACTTTACAAACCGTCAGTTGGACAAACCCTTCTGCAATTCTCAGAATCACTTTTCCTGCAACCTGATACTTTATGTCTGTGTGAGACTTCTTCTCTTCTGGTCTGTTGGAAAATTGCCTTTACAAAAATATTTCTACTAAAATTTTAATATTGATTTTAATATCAATTAGCTCTAAAAGTTGAGGGGCCGCACTTTGTGGCTATGGGGGCAACATGCAGCCCGCGGGCAGCAAGTTTGTCACAGCTGTACTAGAAGAACAACAGATATATTTCACAAATGTTATAAAATCTTCTTAGACACTCAACCATGAGAGTTTGGAGATGATTCAGAAGATTTTATCAGTTCTGCTTATAAAATATTGAGAATTACATCTTACAATTTGTTATTTCTCTAACACTTTCCTTAAAATCTGACAAATAATATCCTTCTGCAATTCAGTAATTAAATAAGAACTGGAGTTTGTCTAAAAATGATTAAAGATGGTCCATATTAGTCATTCTCATCAATTATCAGAGCACCAGACACTAAACTGCAGTTTAAGTTTCTTTAGAAACCTCTGCATTTGAAATGGACACAATATCTATTATATCAGAATCACATAAAGCAACTTGGACCAAAGGCTTACACAATTGAATATAATGCAATAAAGTAATTACAAACCTGTGTTATTTTGACAGAGGACCATAAATCTACAAACCTGGTCTTCCACTTGACTCATAATGTCCCGTATATCTTTCAGTCCTTCTTTCCACTTTTGTTGATGTCGAAGCAAGTCCGTGTTTATTAGCATAATCACCTACAACATATTTTAAAACACCCATACACTTCATCATCAAAATTATGATTATGTTTTTTCACAATATGACATCTGGTATCCATTAAGCATATGTACAGGTTTAACGTTTTCAATCCCAAAAGCTCACATTTCGTTTCAAAATGTGTAGTGTAACCAGTACTCCATCCCTTGTGGTACTGTACTTAATATATATCTCTAATTTTTAAATTCAATACATGACCAAGTTAGTTTATTATGAAAGAGCATATCAACATGAATATTAAGCATATACAAAAAAAAAAAAAAAAAAAGACACATTCTTTTGGGTAAAAGTGAAGGTCAAAATAATGAATCCAATTTCATTCTCCCTGATGTGTACCTACCAGAGGTGCTTGCATTTATTGAATCACCTCTAGTGCTCTTCTTCTGGCTGGACATTCAATACTTGTCTCACACCATATATTTGTATGACACCCGATACTTAAAAAAATATCTCAGTGCAAAATTTGGTGAATACAGTGGTAGGAAAGCAAACTGAATATTGCACATGGCCAGAAACTGCTATGTGCAGAATTCTGAATTGAAAGGCGCATTCTTGTACCCAGCAGTATGAATTTTGCTGAGACTTTTCATATTCCCATATCCTTATATCATCTGGCAGGTGATGAAAAGTCAATTTTGCTACAACTTCATGAACCATCATTCTTCTGTTTTCATGAATGAAAGCAACTTGAATGCAGTATTGAGGGAACGTACGTAAACATTCGCAAAAGTTCAGTCATCTTTAAGTGAACAAAACAGCAAAAATGTTTCTGAACAGCTGAGAGTTTTGGTCTCAGAAACTGTTCAGAGTTTTATGTTTCAATGGCTATATTTATCAAGTTCCACAGCGAATTTAAGAGCATATGCTGCTATTTCACATCAGCTAGTTCAAAATCCAAAAAAATTCAACAAACACATCCAATAAAAATGGCAACATCCTGTCATAGATATAAAGTGAGCAATAATTGGTTATTATTCCATTTGCATAATATCCCCATACTGAGGATTTCAATTCGTAGTATAACTTCAAACCTAGAATTTCTTGCTCAAACCTCAAATACCCCTTTCATCTCAGCTTTTGCATCATGATCATTACTATCAGAAGTGACTAATTTTTTCACCTTATCTCTGATTTGGGCATGGTAAGAGGCAAGTTTGTTGTTTTCTTTGGACAGCCTCTCAACTGCTGTCTGCAAACGAGCAATATACTTGTCCACAGCAGCTGTATCACTCCATGTAACTCCATTCTGTTCCTCCACTAAATGTGCCAAATCCAGAGCAGCCTCCAGCATCATTGGTCTCTGAGATGGGATCATGCGGTCACCAATGGTGTTGTGAAAGTTAGCAACCTAGTTATCAAAATACAATGTTACATACACATTACCCATACTTATTATGTATGAGCCTCAGGGCACGATCCTGTTCCATGCATTTACATCGATATGTGTGGTACAAAGGGGATACACATTGTAGTATGGTGAGAAATTAAAGCACATGGCACCAGAAAGTAGTGATACAATTATGAACATCTTTCCTGCTATAACTGCATTCACCAATCTTGTATGTTATAAAGTTACAGATAAGAACAATACAGGAGAAGGTAATGTGGGAGAAAGGATACCTCCGGCAGTATAATGATTTCAACAGTACATTCAAGGACTCATGGTTTAATGGACTAATGTCTAGTGAATTCAACAACAGCAAAACAAATACATGTCTTATTTTTAAATAAATATAGCAAAAGTGTTAAATGTATGAAAGTTGTCATGCAATTAATTAGTTAATACAACATACCTGTTCAAGAGCTTTTGCTTGTCTCATGAATTTCTTAGCAAGGTCTACAGCCTCCTGAATTTTCATTGGTATTTTGTATCCCAGTATGATGAGTTGACGCACCTCTCTCACCAATCCAACCAAGCGTGGATTATAGTTTACATGCATCAACTTGCCTTGGTCAAACTGAACGACTGGTTCATCAGTTATTAAGCTGCGAACATGAGCACAAATTTACTAACTATGCTTAAGAATTTCAAAGTACAGTATTTCACTTCAACCTTGAAGATGGAGGCAATATGCTCACAATATGCTCCTCCATAATGCTGGTAATGAATTATGATGCTACAGCTTCATAATAACAGACTTGTATGTTGGTGTTTACTATGAATTTTTAGCGCTCATTTCTTTCTCAACTGGTGATCACATGACTGACAAAACAAACGAAATGGAAGTGAATTGTATCAGCAATAAATGAATATGAAAGGATATATTTGAAGGGGGGAAACATATATCTCATAGAAGTACACTTTAACACTCTCATCGGAACTTCTGAAAAGTGTTAAGAGAATGAGTTACCTGAGAGTTTTGTTATGAATGGCAGCCCCAACATCCCGTGTCCAGTTATCAAACTGATCTGTGTGGTATTCCTTCAAGTCCCTCAGGACATCTCCCACAGCTCTCTGGAGGTCTGCATAACCTTGCAAATCATTCAAAATCTTGGCACTTGTCTTCTCAATGTCTCTTACCTATATATAATATAATAAAGAGTTAATGCATCAGAAATGCTTATTCGAAATACATTAGAAGATATCAGATTAAGCAGAAAGGTTGCTTGCTTTCAAAATCCATGAAAATCAAATAACAATATACATGGAACCATAAAACAAAACTTAGTCTTGTTTTCCATCTATAATGCAATAATACTAATATAACAACAAATACTGTTGCATTATAGACTGAAAACAAGCCTATAAGTTATACCTCAATGCAACAGGATGCTGAAATATAATACAGGGTGGGGCACAGAAGCTTCCTTTTTTTCAAGGCAAATAAAAGAAAAATTATTGCTGATAGACAAAATTTATGTTTAGCTAATGAAAGAACATACTTTAAAGTTTTAAATCATGTAGTTTTAAACAAAATATCTTGAAGGTGGTGGCCACCGTTCTCTGTGCACTGATGAAACCGTTTTCTGAAGTTCCCCTCTGCACGTTCCAACATGTGCACCGGAATTTGGGCTACTTCCTGCCGAATAACATTCTTCAGCTGAAGCAGGTTTGTGGGGCGATGTTTAAAAACTTCTACCTTGAGGTATCCCCATAAAAAAAATCACAGGGCATTAGATCAGGTGAGTGCCCTGCCCATGGGATGTCACCTCGAAGCAAGATGAGCCGTCCGGGGAACTTTGCCCTCAAAACTGTCATCGAAGCTCAGGCTGTGTGGGCCATGGTACCATCCTGTTGGAATCAGACATTTCCTAGATGCATTTCTTCAAGAGCTGATTCAAAAAAGATCTCAAAACCGAATGTCAAACTGCCTCCACATTTTCTGGTGTCATAACGGTCCGTTGTCATCCTGATGATTTTTTCGCCACACTCCTGGTTGTCCTAAAGTTCTATACCCACAAAACAATCGATTTCCGGTCAGGAACTGGACCTCTGGGCTTAATTCCGAAGTGAGTACAGAACGCACGCTGCACCGCCACATAGGAATGGTTGTTCAAAAAATAGGCTTCGACAGCAAACGCATGCTGCTCACTCGTCCACCTCATGTTTCCTTTTGAGGGGTATTAGAAAGAAACTACCATGACTGCTGCGTTCGTCAAGCCTATCCCCACTTTTCTGCGACCTCCCCTCCCTTCACAATGCATCTTCAAAAAAATGAAGTTTCTGTGCCCCACCCTGTATTATACAACAACACCTAAGAATGTAGTAATCCATACAACCACATTCCAAGATGGAAACGTGAACTGTAAGAGAACACCAGACACAGAAGTGATAACTTAAAATAATGGGGCTTTAATGATGCAGTGCCAATCAGAGTGGCTGTGCGGTATAAGGCATGAAATGTCTTCACCCACTGGAATGCTGGGATGGTGGGTTCAAATCCTACTCAAGGCATGGGTGTTTCAATGAGTTTATTCTGTGTTTGTGCTCTCCTGTGCAAGTAGCAGCCTTGCGTCAGGCTGATACCCCATCCAAGGAGTCCTACTAACACTCTAAGATTAAGAAACTGATGTGAAACCAGCATTTCACAGATGTCCTATGCTCTACGTGAGAGCAACAGGAATAGACATACAGACAGACAGGTATATAGAATGAGGCGGTTAAGTTTCTTTGGATTGTCTCTGGTTTTGAAACATCTGCATTCCTCTGATATGTTGCATTTGTGCATTCAACCAAATGCTTTTAATTTTAAATTATAACTATTTTATTTTACTAATTTATTCAGCCCAACTCCTTTTTCAAGTATGAATCAATGTCAAATTCTTTATATTTCAAAATGCTTCATTCCAGGTAACAAGTTATTGATGATTTATTTCCTATTAACGTTTTCAAAAACAAAATTGACTCTTGTTCTATCATGGATACCGTTGGTCTCTGTATACCCAATAATAAAAATACAGGCTTCTTCACCTTTAACATTAGTTATGTCTCAGGTGCGTCATGGTTACAAACAATGTCTGCAAATTTCTGGACGTTTTCAATAAATGTAACATCTCCCTTGAGGATACATTTACCTTTGCTTAATTCTACTGAGTTAAGGTTCGCCCACACAGAGCGTTACGTACGCGACGCACGCTATGTACGCTATGTTCGCTATACGAACAGAAAAATATCTCCCTTTATTGCCAATGTGACTGGCCACACAGACTTCCGTACGCTACGTACACTATGTTCCCTATGTTAACTACATCGCAGTGTACACAGCGTATGTAGCGTACATAGTGAACACAGCGTAGCACTCTGTATGGCCGAACATTTACATCATTATTGTGTTTCCTGTATTATTTTATTACCTAGAATTAAATTTTAATCTGGTTCTAGTTCTAATTTTAGTTCTAGTTCTAGCCTTAGTCTAGCTTTTGTTTATGTATACTTTCAGTGCTCACCTGTCATAGGCCACTCACAGCTGGCAAGCACTTAAATAAAGGAACTGAACTGAATTGCCATTATAATTAAATACTTGATGAATACTAATTTCTTGGATGTGACAGTAATCTTCATATTCACTGCCATGAATAGTCCCAATCTCATAATTAAATAATCGTTTCTGATAGTAATAACACCACCTGTTCCTCTTCTAAAAATAGAATATTGGTAAATACCTTACACTCCAGCTGACGAACCCAATATATGTTGCTGATAACTTCTGGCATGTCCAGCAGTTTGGCATATTCTCTGTTCTTCCCCAAACCAAAGTCTGAACTCACACTATGGATGTATTCCTTCAGCATCCCCAACAAATTTTCTCTTTCAGCAACCAATGTGTTTTTCACACTTGGTCTTTGAATCAGTTCTTGGTAACGTTTGAACTCGTGCAGAAGCTAGAAAAAAATTGAAGAAAAGGAAAATACTGGAAGTAAATATACAAAACCATTTAATAAAATATTATTTTTATATTACACTCCCCCATATGCCTTCAAGGCATACTGCTTAATTAGTTAAACACAGGGACAACTTTGCCTTTACCTTTATTGCACTAACTACTGTATGGCTGCCTTTTAGGATTTGATTCTTATGACTGTTTTACTGCATGCATGAAATCTGAAGACTAACACTTCATGTGAAATTAAATTAAACCACATGAAAATTGTCAAATTAGTGTCATCTTCACCAATGCCATTAACATAATCACCACCACAATCATCAGTCATCAGTTATCATTATGATCACCCCAAATATTAGGTCTAGTTACGCCAATCACTGGAACAGACTGATGAAAACAGGAGCTCAGAAACTGTCTTTCCCCACTGAGAAGATCTACCAGTTAGAGCAGTGACCAGACTATACTATTTTTATAAGATCAAACCCAACATATCCAAACACTTTAATCAATAAGCTATGAAAAAATTGAAGAAAGGTTAGTATATGTATGTGATCCAGTATTTCAGCTTACCTCAACAGTTCAAAAGAAAAATTAAAAACAGTGAGGCTTAAACATTAACTCTCACTACTTATGTAGTTTAACTCTGAAAACAGCAAATGGACAGGCATATTAATTTGTGTTGAGAAGCGTTTTGTTGCTAGTTTTCCTTTGCTATTGTTTGTGTTCATGGTATGTAACTGACATCTCCACCAACACATTGCCAACACAAAAAGTAGCAAGAGATATAAGAAACCTATCAACAAAGCACTACCAAACACTTCATATGAAGCTCACATAACAAATTAATAACACATCCCTGCTGGTAGAGCAACAAATGTCACAGCTTCTACTTGTACAGTCATCCCTTGCTAAATGATGTCCTGCTAATCACTGTCCCACTAATCAATGACTGGATTCATCGAAAATCCCATAATATGTCCAAATACCCAAACAATCATTGTTCCTTAGTCAATCAGTGATTGCCAATGCAGGTGCACATTGGTGATGTTTACAAGCTCAGTTATGTTGTTCAGCCATTCTGGTAGCATAGTAAAACAATCTTACCAATGTTCACTGTTCTTTATGACATTCTGCAACATTGTGAAAAAAATTAGTAACATTATGGACCCTAAAATTAAAAGCAAAGCAGATGTTAAAACTGGGTTTGTTAACCAATGAAACACTAATGGACAACGTTTCATGGAACCAATTCACGTTGATTAATGAGGGATGACAGTACTTAGACAAAAGGTATACAGTATAACTTTTAACAATTTTAGATATAATTTTAAATATAAGAAATCTCCTTTTATTACACAAGCTTCTGAAGATGGTCCAGTAAGACTGAAATATATAAGGCAATTTTATTGACTCAATATGCCAGTAAAACGTTTGTTACACTTGATGGTTGCCTTGTTTTTAACAACTTATTAAAAGTATTTCTCTTTCATGTAAACACACAATAACACATGTTCAATGAAGTGTTTAGGCCCTTAAGTAATGTGGGACTTAGAACAAATTAAACATAAAACATAAAACAAAAATTTGTCATTGTGTTCAATTAAGCACATCATGAATACATATGGAGCTACTGGACGTATAGCTCCATGCATTCTTAATCTTGGCATTAGACTAGACTGATACTTCAACATCACAGAAAGTCTACCTTTAATTTGACAATGTATCAAAAGCAAAAGAGGAACATGCTGAAAGTTGGACTAAAACTATCAATTGATTACAAAATTAACATATTTTGAAATACAGAAGGAGAAGAATATAAAATTCCCAAAGCAATATAAATACCTGTGAAGTATTTGCATTAACAGTCTGCAACTGGACCTTCAGTTTCCCAGCTACCCTTTCTTCAGTCAGTATGAGGGAATGCTCAAACTGCTTCACAGCAGCTCTCCACAGTGGTTCAGTGTATGGATTGTACTGGACTGGGTTTAGTCCCAAGAAAGGTTTAAAAGTGTCATTTGTCCTCAGCTCCTCCTGTTCTTTGTGGGATAGTAGCCTTGTTAGTTGTCGATGAATGGTTCTCAAATCCAGAACCTAAGAAGGATTAAGATATATCAATAAAATTTAATATATTTTGGCTTAAAACTCTCATAACTTCTCTATGAATTTTCTAAAATTAAGCCAACCTCTTGAAGCCTATTGCTGAAATTTTGTGTATATTTAGGATAAAATGGTTTTCCTTTCCATTGATGAGATGGATGGTTAGGCCAATATAAAGATGTCAGTCGATCACATGTCACTTTCCATTTCTTACAGGCACGAATTGCCTAGAAAACAAAGAAGCATTATATGAACAAAAATTTACACACATTATTTGTATATTTAATTTTACTTATTTCACAGTGATATACAAAGAAGAGTAAATCAAACATATATAAATGGAAGTTTTTTGCAACATGACAGTGAAACTAGCATTCCACTGCAATGTAATCTGACCCCCTCCCCTCTTGAGGCATAACCTATGCTCTTTCTAGAGTCAGACAAATATAACTCTGGGTTATTTTATTTAATGATATTTTGAAGGAATATGGTAAAACTTACAAGTGGACAAAGTTAAAGCCAAAAAGATTAATACCTGATCTTTCAGCACATTTTTTTTGATAAACTAAACATTTATGTTAAGGTAAAGCTATCTCTGGACTTAATTAATTAAGAACCATGCCATGAAGACATACTGGGGAGTGGAGGTATAGTTCCACAATTCCTAATCTCAGCACCAGAAGGAGGTGAGTAGTAAACTTTATAATATTATACTTAAGCATCCTGTTGCACTCTACATGATACTACTACAGGAAAATCAAATTTGACGTGTGCAATATAATCTACATACCAGACATATCAACGAGGTAGATGTTGATAATACGAAGAAAATAACAATGTGTTTTTAAATGTTAAATTTTAGACTGGGTTCAGTGTAGCAGCAACGTTAAGAGTATACACCTGATGATGGCCGATAGAGGCCGAAACATGTAGTGTGGAAGAGAACAAGATCAAAGACATATAATATATATTGTTTGCACTTGGGACGGAGTTTGTATCATTTATCGAGTAAACTTTATGCCTCAACTGCTCTATCCCTAGGAAAACACACCCTGGTTACCACTGCATAGGAGGCTGGGTGGGCCCCAGAACATGTCTGGATGTTACAGAAAAGAGATTACTCTCTTGCCCCTACAGGTAATTGAACCCCAATTCCTCAGCTGTCCCAGCCCACAGCATAATTGCTATACTAATTACGCTATTCTGGCTCACAAACTTTCAATTTATTACATTTTGTATGATGAGAGCTCATGAAACATCTCTGTACATGCTGAACAGTTGCAAAATGCAGAGTAGAGCAGTAGCTACTGCTGGCAAATAGGAAGCACGGTAATTCAAGGTATTGGGCCCCGTCAGGACCCATGACCATATATTTATTCATTTCTAAGATCATTAAACAAAGGTCGGATAAAAAGTAGTGGCAACACCTCTATAGTTCGGAAATGACTTTATTACCAGAGGTAAACACAATTACACTCCTTCAATATAATTGCCCCCCCATGTGCATCACCTTCTGCCAAATTTGTGGAAGGTGTCGTACACTATCAGCGCATCCACTTCTGTTAATTTCCAGCAGTGACCGCCCTACAGCACAAATAATCTCCTCTCTTGTGTTGTAATGTGTCCCTCACAGTGGTTCTTTCATTTTGGCAAAGAGATCATAATCGCACGGACTCATATCGGGTGAGTATGGTGGATGTTGCAGTATTTCCCGTCGCCAGCGGCGAAGGACTGTGGTGCAGTATCACTCCATCAATGCCATAGGCTACAATGAACACTGCCTTCACATTACTCTGTGTAGGGCACACTTTCTTTGGACAAGGAGTCAGGATGCTTCCATTCATTTGATTGTCGCTTCAAGTGCGGTTCGCATGAGTGAGCCCAACAAAGTGATGATCCTTCCAAGGAAGTCGTCACCTTCCTTCTGGTACTGGTCCAACAAGTCCTGTGCAATTGCATAACGTTGCCACTGCTGCACCTCGGACATTGTATCGGGTACCCAACACACTGCAATTTTGCAATATCCAAGAATATCATGCAGAATGTGGAGCACGGTTTTGTGATATATGCGTATCTCACCAGCTAACTCCCGTGTAGCCCATCAACAATCGACATCCAGCAAAGAAGCAAGAAGTTGAATTGTGTGGTTGTCAACATGGTGTCACCCTGAATGGCATCCATTCCTTCACGGAACAATTTCACCCATTGTGCCACTGTGTGATATGGCAAAGCAGCATCACCACATGTTTCTCGCAGTCCCTGATAACAGTTTTGTGCACTACGACCTTGCGCAAATTCAATTTTTATCCAGGAGTGTTGTTCTTGTTTCGTAAATATGTTGTTAGGGTGCTTGAACTAGGCTCCTGCACTTCAAGATGATGCACAATGCAACTCAATGAAACACAACCAGAGCCACTCACTGCACTACTTTAACTGAACTTCTGCTATCAGCTACAGACAGCGCTAGTGCCACCTGATGCACATCTTTCATGTTACAGCAGTGTTACCACTACTTTTTATCCAACCCTTGTATTTACTGTTACTACTGTTGTTGTTGTTGTTGTTGTTGTTGTTGTTGTTACTATTATTATGCCTCTGCTTCGATGAGAGGAGGGGTTGGTCTTTCTAGGTAAGTGTTCCACTTTTTTTTTTCTCTCTCTGTGGCGCTACAGCCCCAATTTGGGCCTAGGCCTACCTCCATGAAAATCTCCGTTTCACTTCAGTTTACTAGATCTTACACATTCGGTAGGACTCCTTGGGCGAGCGATCAGCTCGTTGCAAGGCCTCTACCTGTAGACAAACACAGAAAAACGCATACAAACATCCATGCCCTGAGTGGGATTTGAACCCACGATCCCGGCTTCTGAGCTAGCGAAGACAGTGCATGCCTTAGATCGCTCAGTTACCGTGACCGGCTAAATTATCATATCCCCCCCCTTGGCACTGCAGCCCCAGTGGGCCTAGGCCTACCTCCATGAACTCCGTTCACTTCGGTTTTTCTGGATCTTATACATACGGTAGGACTCCTTGGGTGAGTGATCAGCTTGTCGCAAGGCCTCTACCTATAGACAAACATCCATGCCCTGAGTGGGATTTGAACCCACGATCCTGGCTTCCGAGCAAGTGAAGACAGTGCATGTCTTAGACCGCTCGGCTACCGTGACCGGCAAGTGTTCCACTTACTCCAACATAATCAACTGGTGGTTACTGTACTCAGAGAGTGACTAGATAGGGGCATATATACATTATCCATAATTTGTCACTATATTCTAACATAGATACCTCTGTCAATGCAGGCTTGTACAGTGGGTTATGACTTAACTTATTTAACACCTCTGAAATGGCAGTCAAATACATGATAGCTTGTAGGGTTGGCCGCTACCAAATTTAAGCAACTTGTTTTCCTATGTATGGCTACTCCATGTCCAAATTGGCAAAACAGTGACTGCCCAGAACTTAAGGATATACAAGGGTCGTACTGAAAGTCATGAGCAACAATTATTTGTAAAGTAACATGCTTTATTATTGACAAACCAAATACACCACCTCAATCTAGAGACCTTTCTTTATTTTTCCACATAATCGCCACTTCTTTGTACACATTTCTCGCAGGGTTCCGGGAGTTTGAAAATTCCCCTTCTGTAAAATTCTGTTCCAGCCATCCGAAGACACTGACGCACTGATTTCTGAATTGCCTCCCTTGTCTCAAAACGTTGTCCATGCAGCTGATCCTTCACAAATCCGAAAAGATGGTAGTTGGAGGGTGCCAGATCAGGGCTATAGGAGGGGTGTGGAAGAACTTCCCACCCCATCTTTGCAATTGCTTCCAATGTGAGGCGAGCAGCGTGGGGGCGAGCGTCGTCATGCAGGATGATGTTTCGTCCCGTATGTTTATTGTGCAATGCACAACAGAGCTTGTGCAGCATCTGGACATAACGAGCAGCACTGCTGGTTTGCCCAGGTTTCAGGAATTCGGCCAGAATAAACCCCTCTGCATCCCAGAAGACTGTGACCATCACCTTCGCAGCTGATGGCACTGTCTTTGCCTTCTTTTTTGATGGAGAATGCAAATGGTGCCATTCCATACTCTGCCGTTTCGTTTCAGGCTCGAAATGGTGAAACCAGCTTTCGTCACCTGTCACAATACAGAGCAAAAAATCATCGCCTTCGTGTCGATATCTCTGCAGCAGTTCTGAGGTGATGGCTTTTCGCTGACCTTTGTGGTCTTCGGTCAATAACCGCAGGACCCAACGAGCACAAACTTTCCTATAGCCCAAGCTTTCAATCATCTCCTGTAGTGCACTGTGCCCTATTCCAAGTTTTCGGGCTATTGTGTCCACAGTCACATGCCTGTCATCTTGAATGATCTCATCCACTCTTTCCTTGCTGCGTTCAGTTGAGGCTGTTCGAGGACGACCAGTCCAAGGCCCAACTTCGATGCTGGTGTTCCCATCTTTAAAATGTTTCACCCATCTTCGAACACTGCTCGCACCCATGCACACACCTCCATAAGCACGCTGAAGTCTCTGGTGAATTTCTGCAGCAGGTATTTCCTCTATCACAAGAAATTCGATGACAGCACGCTGGCAAAATGACATATGGTTGTCAGCCATTTTGTGTGATACTGGTCATGTGATGCAAGCTATTGATGTCACAAGACATTCAAGGTTAACACAACAGCTGGTTCCACCTACCACTGTACTTTCTTTCGTCTGCTGTTCCCAGGTTGCATGCAAAAAAAAAAGATGCTCATGACTTTTGGTACGACCTACATATTTAGAAGATAAATATAGTCCATCCTTACTAAATTATGTCTCATTTAAGCTATTAAATAACTGGTCAGTAAATGTTACTCACTCCAGTGTTTTAGTAATAGTTTGCAAACAATGCAGACTTAAGACATAACTACAAAAATGTACATTCATTACCTGATTCAACTGTTCTTCCACTTGAACATAAACTTCTTCCCAGAGGTTGATTGATTTCAGTTTATTCTGGATGAATCTTGCCAAAGTATTCCCTGTTTCATAAAACAGTATTGACCATAACTCTGAATGCACGATTATCATTTGCTTAATGATATATTAATGAGCATTCATTTCTTTCAGTCAGATCCTTCACACACATTAAAATAACTAGAAAGGACAGAATATTTTGCCTCCTGCATTACTATTTACTGTTTACTACAGGAAGTCCTCTTTCAATGGAAATTTCTTGAAGAAAAAAAATAATTTTACATTTGTTTGGGTAACATTTTTGCATAGAATTCTTCTTCACAAACTTAACTTCCTTTTCCATTTTTATAGCAGTTAATTTTAGGTCCACAAATGTCAGCCTATTTTCCACAGCATTCTAAAGTTCATTCTCCTCTAATTTGTAATAACCTAATAAAAAAGGCATTATCTAAATGCATCAGTTAATTACATGTTACAGTTAAGATTACTATTTACTATTAATTTAAAAAATCATCAAACAAGAGGCACAGTCCTACAGTACTAACTTGTTGTGTATCTCAACATATACATTATCAGTAGAAGTCTTTCAAAGTTCCTAACCAATAACATCCATTAAGTGCTCCATACGTTGCTGTGGATATATGAAATCATCAAGTTTCCACAGGTCATCTAATGTGTTGTGTGTTGTTTCAAGTATTTCATCAACATCTGCCAGGAATATGGAATCTAGAGATCTGAAACAGCAACATGTCTTAGTATTACATTGAAACAAAAATATGTACAGAGTTTAACTTCAGAGGAAGTTTTAACTATTTATGAAAATTACAGCTGATAACAAATGGGAACAGATATGCATTAAACATATGTTTTGCACATGTGTCAACATTAAAATGGAATGTTTATACAAAAAGTTCAAAGTGTTTCCTTACTAAAATAAAGTCTTGGATTACTAATAACATCTGTCATTATCTTTACCTACAGTTTAAAAGTCAATTTAGTTGCCAGCATTCTTTAAGTACAGAAATACTTTGCAATGTATCGATTTCCTGGTACTAAGGCTCATTAGCCTTGAACTCCCAAACAATGTCAATCATTGTAAGATTTGAGATTTTCACGGCAGTGACTATGAAGAAAGCAGTCTTCTGGGATTTGGCACTGTGTATATGTGGTCTTAACCGACGTTTCGGAGGAACGTATCACCTCCATCTTCAGGATAGAAGGAAAAACATAAGAAATCCGCAAATGAAGAATATAATACTGATCACAGGAGCATTTAGAAAATCTCCAACAGCTGCACTGGAGATACTCCTTGGACTCCCCCCACTGAAGGTACAGTTGTATGCAGAGGTCAGGGCAGGAATTTACCGTCTCCAGTGCAGTGGACAATGGAAACCTAGATCTGATGGTTTCGGCCATGCATACATAACTCAGGACATGAAAAAAGAACCCATATTACAAATGGGGTCTGACAAAATGATACTGAGACATGTATATGAAAAACCCTTCATGGTCAGATTACCTGACAGGAGTGAATGGGAAGACGGGTTTCGGCCTGATAGAAAAGGGGGACTGATCTGGAATACAGATGGTTCCAAGACAAATATGGGTACTGGAGCTGGTGTGTACTGCCATGGCACGAGGCAGAAACTTAGTTTCAGCCTTGGGCAGTACATGACAGTATTCCAGGCAGAAGTATATGCCATTAAAGCATGTATTATGGAGAATTTAGATAGGAACTATAGAAATAGGAACATCTACATTCTATCTGACAGCCAAGCTGCACTTAAAGCACTTGACAAACACCAGATAAATTCAAAATTGGTCTGGGATTGGCACCAAACCCTCATGGAACTGGCCAAACATAACAGGGTACAACTGATATGGGTGCCGAGACATGAGGGTATTGCTGGAAATGAAGCAGCAAACCAATTAGCTAAAATTGGAGCTGAACATTCGTTCATAGGACCTGAACCAGCCTGTGGCACCTCTATAGGAGTTGCCAAACAGCCAATCAGGGACTGGACTAACATAAAACACAAGAAATATTGGGGATCCTTAACTGGACTCAGGCAAGCAAAGGAACTCATACGAGGACCTTCCACTAAAAGAGCGAAGGAACTGTTGAAGCTAAACAGGAACCAGCTACAATGGGTGGTAGGACTACTTACAGACCACTGTCACCTCAAAGGACACCTGTTCACACTGGGACTAAGTGATAGTCCCACTTGTGAGAGGTGTCAGACAGAAAACGAAACAGCCACACACATCCTATGTGAATGTGAGGCTTTAGCCTATTTAAGACTATGTCACTTGGGTCAATACTTTATGGAACCAAGTTACTATTTTGACGCCCCCACGTCCAAAATCCTGTGCTTCATCCGAAGAGCAGGGTTGCTAAGGGAATAATTAAAAAAGGGGAAGCACAATAGACCACTGAGGTCATGGTGCAAGGACCGAGAATGCCTACCCCTCATACATTCATTCATTTATTCAACAACTGTCATCACATGACTAATTCAACCCAGTCTACTGCCCCAGTTTTTGTTACACTCACTTATAAGTACACCTTCATTCTCAGTTAGTTCTAATCCTTGGTTAATTAGTTCTTTCTTTGGTTGGCACCTTCTTAGACACCGTAACTTTACATACTCCAAGAGAGGGCCAACTCTGCTGTCATAGCTTTTATTTTGAGACCTTAGAAATAATGTTCATACCTGAAGGCCATCATCTATAAGAAATTATATACTTCAGCTTTTTTTCATGTTTTGTTTCTACTAAAACTGTGGTACTGGAGGAAAAAAAAGTGATTCTTGCATCCATTGCCATACCTGTGATATGCACATTTTAACTCAGTAGACTTACTCGTTCATAATGTTTCAAACTGTAGGAAGGATTGTAAAAATGGTGGATCATGTATATTTGTAACCAAAGAGTTAAATACCAGGGAAGTTACATTTCTCAATGATCTGAGCTGTGAAAAAATTTTCGAATTAGCTGTAGTTGAAATTGTTGACTTTAAATGGTTATTGGTCTGTATTTACAGATCCCCCCAAAACAATGCTGGTTTATTCCTGGAGAAGCTGGAAACTCTTGTCGATAGAATACATAAAAAAAGGAAAAAGTTAATTATTTGTGGTGATTGGAATATAGACCTTCTCCAGGCAAATGAACACACACGGACACTGGAAAACTTATTGATATCTTATGATCTAAAAAATACAGTAACTGTACCAACAAGAGTTACTAGTCTCTCCAAATCCTCGATAGATGTTATGATTACTAATAAACAGTTTAATAAGAATTATATTGAAATTGTAAATATGGGTTTCTCTGACCATTTGGCTCAGATCTTATGGGTAAATTTAGACACACGAAGAATGGAGCAAAAGGATAAAGTACTTTTAAGAAAGTTTTCTAAGGTAAATATAAGCAAATTCATAGACTTGTTAAAGGATGAATTATGGGAAGAAATTTCTGTGGAAAGGAATGTAAATGAATTATACTCATTATTTATAAATAAGTTTTTATACTATTTTACGAGAGCATTCCCATTGAAATTAGAAACAAAGAGTGACCGCAAAGATAATTTATGGATATCTAGAGGAATAAGAGTCTCATGTCAGAAAATGAGGCTTTTAAATAGTTTAAAGTGTAGATTACCACTATCAAGGGATTCATTAAACTATATAAATAGATATCACAGAATCTATAAACGAGTTATCTCTGAAGCTAAGAAAAGGTATAATGACAATCAAATACGAGATGCTACAAATCCAACTAAGATGATGTGGCAGATAATAAATAAACAAATGGGAAATGCAGGTAGGGCAAATCATGATATATGGTTACAAAACAATTCAAAGAAAATAATACACCCGCAGAAGGTGGCGAATACATTAAACTCTTATTTTATTGATAAAGTTGAAGAACTGGTGGAGGAAACTAGAAATAGAAATAATAATAGATTACCACAATTATTAGTCGACCGAAATCCAAACTCCATGTATCTCTTCCCCATTTCTGAAGATGAAATTGTGTTAGTAGTAACTAAATTAAAAGGTAAAGCCTCTGCTGGAGTTGATGAAGTCCCTGAATTTTTATTAAAAGCATGTATTCAATGTATAAAAAAACCACTTACATTCATTTTTAATGAGTCTTTAAACCAGGGGATTTTTCCAGATTTATTAAAAATTGCAAAAGTTAGGCCTGTTTATAAAAAAGGGAACAGACAAGAAGCTAGTAATTATAGACCGATAGCGCTTTTATCTGTATTTTCAAAAATATTGGAAAAAATAATGTATTCTAGACTGGTATCTTTTACTACAAAATACAAAATTTTAACAGAAAATCAACATGGGTTTCAGAAAAATAAATCAACTACATCGGCGTGTCTGTCCTTCATTGGAAAGGTCCAGGAAGCATTGGATAGGCGGTTAGGGGTGGTAGGTATATTCTTTGATCTCTCAAAAGCTTATGACGTTATAGATCATGATATACTTCTTGAGAAATTGGAGCATTATGGAATAAGAGGGAATGCCATAATTTGGTTAAAATCCTACCTTTCTCTACGTTCTCAGTATGTCGAAATAACTTCAAATGACAATAAATATCGTAAGAAGAGGTATAATTCCTCATTTAAGAATGTAAAATTTGGTATACCCCAGGGTTCCATCCTGGGCCCACTGTTGTTTTTACTTTATATAAATGATTTACCCTATCATATATTTGACGGTGAAGTTGTCCTTTTTGCAGATGATACTAACATATTGGTAACAGATAAAAATATAAATATTCTCCAAGATAAGATAGGAGAGGTGATGATCCAGTTAGAATCGTGGTTTTCAAAAAACAATTTGATTATAAATACGGAAAAGACCAAAGCAATGCTGTTCCAATTAAACAAATCATACTATATGTCTGAGCCAGTAATCACCTTCAAAAATATGAAAATTAGTTATACCTCACAGTTTAAATTTTTAGGTGTTAATATATCAAATAACTTAAAATGGAGCTCACATATTCAATCTTTATGTCTAAAATTAAATAAGGTGTGTTATATTATAAAATCCTTGAAAGATGTAGTGAGTTTCTCTACGCTCAGGAATGTTTATTTTGCTAAATTTCAGTCCTTAATAAGTTATGGTTTGATTTTTTGGGGGGGAGAGTGTGAAAGCAGTAAAATACTGAAAATACAAAAAAGGATACTTCGATTAATAAAAGGCGTAAATAGTAGAACTACATGCAGACCAATCTTTAAAGATCTAAAGATCCTAACTGTTACCTCTCTGTACATCTTTGAGGTATTGTGCTACTTTCAGAAATTTAATCTGTATACTACTAGAAATTCAGATTTATATGAATATAATACTAGAAGAAAAGAGGACTTCCATGTACTAAGCTGTAGCACATCTACCTCTAAAAAAAGTGTCATAAACATGGGTATTAAAGCTTACAATAGATTGCCTTTGAAAATAAGAAAATTAAATGGATTCAAAGATTTTAAATATAAATTAAAATTATTTTTACTAGATAATCCATTTTATACAATGAAGGAGTTTCTCTTTGAGGGACTGCAGGATGAATAGAGAAACTCTGCTCAAAATCCTAAATGATGATTTGATGATGTGTTTTTATCCTTGATGAGTATGGTTGTGATGGTTACTTTAGTAACTTGATTTTAAAGTAGTATTTTTAAAGTTGGTCGATTAAGCATAAAGGCAAATAAACTTGAAATTAACTTATTTATATTTAAAATAATCCAAAATTTGTGTACTTGTATTCTGTATTGTAGTTTTAATTAGAGTATGTCTCTGTTGACATAGGAACCCTTTAGGCCGTGGGCAAAGGATTCCCGAATGATTGTACTACATGTTATGACTTATCCATGTGTTACTTTGTAACAGTTACGGATGTTAATAAAGATGAAGATGAAGATGAAGAACTATATATTACGCTCAAGACATTCCCTATGATCAAGACCAATCTCCATTCAATTCTGCACATTTTTTCTAATTAGGAAAGACCCTGAGTTTCAGACATCAAAGCCATTTATGAGATATTTGGAGGCAAATGTTGAATACTGAAGTCTGAAACTCAAATCACATCATCTTGGCAACTGTATGAAACACACCATAACTGAATATTACACTGACTGAAATCATGCTATACTGGCTCCTATGTCGACATGGTTGTCTACTGTACTTTCCTGCCATTTGTTGGTCAAATAATTAACTCCATGTGACAATTCAGGATCTTACAGCAGTGACAATGAAGTCTACTGTCTTCTGGGAGCTATCAAAGGTCAACACAACAGTGAATTATAAACCAATATTAAATTTGTAATATTCATGTTATTTTATTTTCATCCTTCTCCATGTATTGATTTATAAATTTAGATATACAGATTTAGATCTATGGATCCTACTACATGTTTTGATCTATAGATGTATAGATCTATAGGTCAATCATGTAGTGGGATGAAAATATAATCCAAATATTAAACATTTTAATATTGGATTATAATTAATTGCTCTGTTGACAGCACCTACGTATACCTTTGCAACATGATACTCAACAGGATGCAGAAAATAGAGATAATTCTGGAAGCTAGAAGTAATTAAACCAGTTTCTAACAGTAACTGAAAAGTCCCATGTAGTTTGGTAGTTCTCAAAATTTCACCTTCAGACATGCAGCTGTATTCAAACGAATTCTTAAAAAATCTGCATTCTAAACTGCACAGTAATACTTGCCTGAAATCCTTTACAAGCGGCTCCAATGCATACCAAAATGCAGTTGCTTTTTCTTTTTCATCTTTCCTTCCAACAGAATTGGCAACATTCGACCAAAACTGCATTTCATCTTCAGGACTCATAATTTCTGAAAGAGTAAGAATTATTACTTCACATACTGTTTTAAAAATGCTATATATGATTCAACTTTTCAACATTGTTACAATACAGATTCTCCATATCTACTGAAATATGGAGTCATAGTTTTATAAATATAGTTCTTCACATACTGTTCAAAGAAAGGTAATTAAAAACTGAAATTCAAGAACATTAAGATTTTAAACGTTTATTAACAGAGCAGATAGTTTCAGGAACATAAAACAGTTAACAGGAAACAAAGTATTTGAACCCAGAAGAGGTGAATTACTTGGAGAACATAAAAATAAAAAATAAAGAGAAAGCTAGGAACCAGATACCACTTTGAGAGCATTGTTAGTATAATTATATCAAAAACAGTTGTGAGCAGAGAAAAGAAAACAAAAATAGTAAAGAATTCTGTGAGGGAAATCTACTAGAAACAAAATTGGGCATTAGGAAGATGGGAGACTTTTTTCCCCCTTTGGTGCTACAGCCCCAATTTGAGCCTTGACCTACCTCCATACAACTCTGTTTCACTTTAGTTTACTAGATCTTAGACATTCAGTAGGGCTCCTTGGACGGGTGATCAGCACGTTGCAAGGCCTATACCTGTACAAAAACATACACACACACCAAACATCCATGCCCTGAGTGGGATTCAAACCCACGAACCTGACTTCAGAGCGAGCAAAGACAGTGCATGCCTTAGACTGCTCAGCTATTGTGACTGGCAATGGAGATAAATATGCAACAAAAAATAGTAAAATTGAAATTAGCTATGTTCGGGTGGATGGAAGTGATCTGATTCAGGTAGATTATATTAGATTAATGGGGTGGGTGTTAAATAACTGTGGCCCTGCACCCCTTATTAATGTTAGAATTCCATGAGTCTGACATTTTGAATGAAGTGCATCAGTTTGCTTAATGGGGCCATTTTATACTCATTTGACTTCATTAAATGGAATCCCAGGTGACATAACCTTAATTCACCTAAAACCTCTTAGGCATATAGGATATGTGAAGCTGTTTCATCGTCATCATGGCCCCTTTCACAGTTGGGACTATTTACAAGTCCCGGTTTGAACAGATTTACTTTGACGTGATTGTCCTATTAGTACTCTTAGTGTCCTCACTTGTTCATATTTAGAGCTAACAGTTCTCTAGCTCTTTTGGCAGAGTATTCCCAAAATAAGCCCTTTGCATATATTTATGTCCATGAACACATGCCCAGTATTCTTGGTGGCCTCTGTTCATCTGGTTCCTGATGGCCCTCCTGGAAATTCTCTGAGATACCATATGAGGGTTCAGACCCTATTAATGAACATCCAGAACCAGCTCTTGCCAAATGACTGACAATCATAGTCCCTTCAATTTCCCTATATCCTGGCACTGATATCAGTTTTATACTGACATGTTTAGCCAGCTTCATTAGAAACTGATGGCAATCCCAAACTAATTTAGGAAGTTGATATAGTAACTGACAAGCAATTTTTATTGCGGCTTGACTGTCAACAAAATGTAGATGTCCCTATTTTTAAAACCTTTGTATATATTCTCTGTTGTACATATCACTATGCCATATACTTTTGCCTGGAATACTGTAGTGTATTGTCCAAGACTAAAGCTAAGCTCTTTTTTGCGCCACAACCATATAACCCAGCACCAGTGGCTGATTCTGATATGTGTGATTTTAAGTCCTCATGGCAATAATTATGAACTTTACTGCCTTCTGAGATGTGACAGTGTTTAGTATAGTAGATATATATCAGCATTCCAGAGGAACCTGTTGTTTCCATCTTTAGGATGGAAGGGTCCTCTATTTTTATATCAAATAAAAAATTTTAATCTTCATATCTCATAAAAATTAAGTAAATTCTGAAGATAGGAATCCAACATATCTACATGCACATGTGCATGTGTATGCATGCACGTGCGCATGCATACACACACACACCACAGAAGACAAACTCACCAGCTATGTTTCCACTGAATTCTGTTTTATTATTGACAGACTGATCTCCCTTTTGTAACACACTCTGCAGTCCCGATTCAAGTTGTGTTATTAGTTCCTGAAGTTTTGGATCAAAATTATAACTCCATTTATCATCCTGTAAAAGAAAAAAATTCATAATCACTAAAACAGATTTTAACAATGGACCTTCCAAGGTCTATCATGAAATGGTATTGCAAAAACTAACACAAGTTTATATGGATGTTCTGTTATAGGAGGTTAATGTTACAAACAGTGTAAATTGTATTCTGTTGTTTCCTTAGTAACCACAAAGAAATTAATTTTGAATGTAAGTATGCAAATTTGTTGCATAACTGATTTAAAATAGCTACAATTTGGATAACATTAAGTTTTTATGATTTTTTGATGATGAACAACAGTTGAATCCAGTTAAAGACTGCTGAGCCATAATTAACAGGGAAAGTATTATGAAAAATATGGAAGGACCTGAGATTTTCATAGCAGTTGTCACAAAGAGTTATCCTTTCTTGGACATAATGCCATGCAGTCAGCTGAGAGTCAAAAAACATTTAGGAAAAACATTTCACCTCCATCTTTAGGCCAAGTAAAGAAATCATCAGGGTGCAGGTGAGTGCATGTGTGTGTGTGTGTGTGTCTGTGTGACAGAGAGAGAGAGAGAGAGAAACATTTCCCAGTGTAGTTTGAAGTCACATCAAATACATGGCTGTTTATCTTTCAGTAAGGTCTACTATTGAGGTGAATAATGGTGCCAGGCATACATATACACCACAGACAACTGCATTATTTTGCTGCTGAATACATTTGAAATTAGTAGGAGGAATGTCTATACAGAATTTACCCAAACAGATCTTATGCTATTCATGTAAAAGTGAATTTAAGAAATTATATAGACATACTGCTGCCATATTACCTACCAAGTGTCCACTTGGTCATCCTATTGCTTTTGGATCAGAACTGTAGACACAATTTTACTGAACTGGTCCTTACAAACATCTGCAATATGTATGTTTTGAAAAGGAAATAAACCTTCCAAATCTTCACAATCTAAGTTACTTACTAAACTTCACGTCAATATATATTATCAGTACTCAAAGAATGGGCATAACACCCTGAAACAAAAGACTGATGACTTATTTGTGATCCATTACATAATTTATGTTCGTGCAATATGTTAACGCTTAACAATTTGTTGCTAGCATAGCCTTGAATTGCATAATTCCAGGATTTAATTCACAATTACAATGCACACACACACACACACACAACAAAATGATTGGATAATAATAAACCAATAATACCACAAATTAATGTCCCAAGGGAAAAATGTAATTATTTCTTGATTTATTGCTAGGAATCTGAAGCTAGGGAAGGCCAGCTCATGGTGCTTTCAATTAAGCATCCTTGATGAGAGAGACAGAGTTACAAATATTTAAAATTCAAAATCATGATATATGATCAATAAGAAAAGAGCATGTTCTGCAAAGACAGGATACACGGTTTGTAAAATATTTTAACTTGCACTTTGCATTAATTGTGTAAGGTAATCAACTGACTAAAAGAAGAAATAATCAATGATTAAAGAAGTAAGCAATTAGCTAGGCTAATTCACACATTCATAACATGATTAAAAAAATCCACAAATGACAGAAGTGCTGTTGCTTTATTTCACACGATTTTTAATTTTGAAGGGTACAAGGCCAGATTGAGTATGCAAAGATGTTAAGATAATAATATGAAGAGATCCTTTTAAAAGGCTCTTGTTTTATGTATTGAAACATATGACAAAGATTAAACTGACAAAGCAATAGGTACAGGGCCAGGGTATATGCTGCACACAATTCGGTAAAACCATACACCAGACAAGACTACCACACAAGGTAATTTAAAAAGGACTATGCCAGAAGCCAAACTTTAGAGTTCAAGATGAAATTGTTGATTATGCAGAATGCATAATTTATAATTGTCCCTTATGAGCAAAGATCTCTACTGGGCTCTTGTGTTCCCCCCAAGTGTTTCTCAGGGTCTTTAAGAGCCTCAAATATTGCCAGAGGCAGAACCTTCCAGACTAAGACCCTCTTGAATGAATGAATGAATGTATAAAGGGTGGGCCTTCTTGGCCCTTGCACCCTGACCACAGTGATCTATTGTGCCTCCCCTTCTGATTATCCCCTCAACAATCCTGCACTTTGAAAGAAGTGCAAGATTTTGTATTTGGGGATGTCGAAATAGTCACTTGGTTCCATAAAATGTTGACCCAAGTGGTGCAATCTTAAATAAGCTAAGGCCTCACATTCACACAGGATATGTATGGCTGTTTCGTTTTCTTCTTCACACCTCTCACAAGTTGGACTGTTACTTAGTCCCAATTTGAAGAGGTGTCCTTTGAGGTGACAGTGTCCTGTAAGTAGTCCTACCACCCACTGTAGCTGGTTCCTGTTTAACTTCAACAGTTTCTTCGCTCTTTTAGTAGAGGGTCCTCGTATGAGTCCCTTTGCTTGCCTGAGTCCAGTTAAAGATCCCCAGTATTTCTTATGTTTTATGTTAGTCCAGTCCTGATCGCATGTCTGGCAACTCCTATAGAGATGCCACAGGCTGGTTCAGGTCCTATGAATGGATGTTCAGCTCCAATTTTAGCTAAATGGTCTGCTGCTTCATTTCCAGCAATACCCTCATGCCCCGGCACCCATATCAGTTGTACCCTGTTATGTTACCCTGTTATGTTTGACCAGTTCCATGAGAGTTTGGTGGCAATCCCAGACCAATTTTGAGTTGATCTGGTGTTTTTTAAGTGCTTTAAGTGCAGCCTGGCTGTCAGATAGAATGCAGATGTTAGTTCCTATCAGCTCTACTCATGCAGAGCCAAAAGTCACAGATGAATGCCCAACCAAGTTGGGCACTGACATAATGCCATCTTCTCTTGGGTTGGTAGTAGTGGGACATCTCAGATACCCCATCATTCACTAAAAGGGACAATACAGATAAAATCGTATTCTGTGCAAGAATGGATAGAAGTACACAAGGGAACAAGTGTATTCACAAAGTGCAATGTAAGACAGACACGCCAAGATGCCATAGTCATACAAGAACTCTCTCAGCAACTTGTCATTTATGAAGTTCACAATTAGACAAAATACATTTTGTCATTTTCTTTCAGATCTCTGGCGGCCCTTGTCTTTCTGTAATCCTCAAATCCATACCAAGTATGTATAACAATATAAGAAGAAAGCAAATAAGGTATTTTGGCTGTGCCATAGCTCAGGCGGTTAGTTGCTGGCTTCCCACCGCACCGGCCCTGGTTTGATCCTGGGTCTGGTCAAGTGGGATTTGTGGTGGACAAAGTGGCGCTGGGGCAGGTTTTCTCCGAGTACTTCAGTTTCCCTTGCCAATCTCTATTCCACCAATTGCTCCACAATCACCCTCACCTATCATCTGGGGCTGGTACAATAGGCCAAATGTGGCTGCAGTACAAGGGACTTAGTCACACCCCACTAGCAATAAAAAAAATAAGGTATTTAAATAAATATGTGAAGTCAAATTCACATTCAAAATTGATGGATGTAGTATGAGAAACACTTACTTTCAGCAGAACTGGAGCGAACACTTTCTGGATTGTATGATATAAAGACGAAATGGGAGAATCTACCATTGAAGAAACAAACACGTTTTCATGAAGATTCTCCAAAGTGATGACCTCTGGTCTTATTTTGAAGAACACAAGTAGCTTCTCTTTTCCTTCCCTTGGGACAATCTAAGTTCATGAAAAAATATTATATATAAATAAAAAATATGAAGTGTCTCATAAATATATTTTGAATGGAACAAAACAATGTTAGGATGTTAAAAATCACGTTCTGTGTCCAAGACATCATAAACTTCTAAATTTAATTATAATGGAAATATGATGTAACTGTTGCCATTCCCCAGTGAATTCACATCCCCTACAGTGAAACTCTTAACTAAGATTTGTCTTGAGGACAAAATTTCTGAGCCTCAAATAAATAAATAAAAAAAAAGCTTAAATACAGTAAAACAAAGGTCACACAGAAAATGACATTCCATTGTTAATTACAAATATTTTACGAAGGGCATTCCGTATATAATGCCTCCTATTTTTCTGTGTTAATATAATGTCTGAGCTGGATGCTGGTGGGGTTGTAGTAAAGGCTGAACCTTCCCACCAATGTACTGTTAGTTTGGTTGTTGTGCGACAGATAGCGACAGCAGAGCAGTCTACCAAATTGGCATCTGACATAGAAGTGCGTACAAAACAGAGATGTGTTATTGAATTTCTCACTGCCAAACAAATTGCACCCACTGATATCCATCGACGCTTGCTAAAGGTGTATGGAGACGATACAGTGGATGTCAGCACAGTGAGGCACTGGTAATGCATTTCAACACTGGCGAAAGTGAAGTGCATGACAAGCCATGCCCTGGGCGTCCCTGCTCAGCAGCCACTCCTCACAATGAACAGCGCCTCAATCGGATCATCCATACAGATCGGTGGATAATGATCAAGGAACTGTGTGCACAGCTGACTATCAGGTGTAATGCATTGGAAACGATGTTGGGGAAGCTGGATTATTGCAAAGCTTGTTCCAGGTGGGTCCTGCGGATGCTTACACAGCACCACAAAACTCATCAAATGGAAGTCTGTCAGGACCTGTTGCACCAGTTTGAGGCTGAAGGTGACAAGTTTCTGGAGAGCATCATCACCGGAGATGAGACATGGTGTCACCACTATGAGCCAGAATCCAAAAGACAGTCCATGGAGTGGCGACATCCAGATTCTCCAAGAAAAAAGAAGTTCAAGACACAGCCATCAGCAAGGAAAGTGATGTGCATGGTCTTTTGGGATAGGCAGGGTGTGATTTTCTTGAATTTCCTGGAGCCTGGTGAGATTGGTAATTCTGGATGCTACAAGACGATGCTGACTAAGTTGAAAGCCCGCATTTCCCGAGTCAGGCCAGAGAAACAGACAACCTTTTGCTTGCAACACAATAACACTAGACCCCATACCAGTTTGGCAACCACCGCGCACACTGCAAAGTTTGGCTGGACTGTCCTACCACATCCACCTTATAGCCCCAATTTAGCACCTTCAGACTTCCATCGCTTTGGGCCTATGACAGATGGACTACATGGGCAACATTTTCCAGACAACGATGCTGTCATTGCAGCTGTAAGAAAGTGGCTAGCCTCTGCTGGTGCAGACTTTTACAGGCGCAGCATACAGGGTCTTGATCATCGCTGGCAGAAGTGCATAACGAATGGTGGTGATTATATGGAAAAATAACTGTAAGTAGCTGAAATCTTGCTCTATTTAACTGTGTTATTATGCTTTCTGTATCTGTTGTAGTTTTCATTAAAAAAATAGGAGTCATCATATATGGAACGCTCCTTGTATATATGTTGTTTTATTTGAGTGTTTGGTTTTTGTTGCAGTATGTCTCATTTCAGGTGCATAAGTTAAATGGTCCATACTTTTAGACATTCAAATAAATTTGCTTTCTTAAACTTTCCCACATGCAGCAGCACTATCCTGTCCATCAATTCAGATCTACTTTCTAAATATATCACAACATTCACACGTTGTTAATAAAGAAAAATCAACCTATTATCCATAATGACATAACAATTCCATCTAGCACCTAGTATATAGATTCAGAGTGTGTGTAGCTGCAATTTTAGATTTCAAGATAAAATTAGTCAATATAGCAACAACATACTCTTGTGTCCAATGTCATCTGCATTCTGGATTGACTTTCGTGCGCCACAGCAGACAGGGTGAAACAACTTGCATCATCTAGAAAGTTGTTGAGATTGATATCATTGCTCAGCATTACACAGATTTCTTCTGTTGGTGTGAGTCCAAAATAGTTTGCTACATAAAACAAAAAAAGTAGACTTGAGTTACAGATTCTTCATAGCAAAGATAATCCACAGCCTTAAATGACAGACATAAGGACTGGTTAAAATCACAACCTGTGGTTACTTACAGAAGAAGGGGTCATGACTTATTTAAAGGTAAAGTTCAAGCAGAAGACGGGTTTAGAGCTGAATAAAACAAAATTTTTAATACATTTGCTGCATTACTATGGACTGTCATAATCTTTCCAATGTCTGGATGTACATGGGAATTTTGAAGTTCTGAACTAGTAATCCTGAACCAATACCAAAAATTAATTCTTAAATAGAACAGTATTTAATTAATTAAAAGCCTTCTTACCTTGTAATCAGCTTACTTATTTAATCTTTTAAACAAGAAGAGTCAAGTATACCCTTTGGAGTGTCATTAAAAATTCACTTTATGTTCACATGTCTGTCTGAGGTACATGCAGTGTATGGTAAAACAGGATGGCAATGGCTATATGCATAGTTTTACAGGAAACTGGAAAACACTTTCAATAGTATGCAATTAATAGATGCTGTTATCATAGCAGCAATTTTCTTTGAATCAACAAATATACACAGTATATTTCATGGGTGCCTCTGATTTCCATGTAAGACATTTTCCTCCTGTATGAGCATTAAGGGAAATATATTCAAAAACTAATTACATCAGACTAAACTCAAACATTTTATCACACAGAGCAGAAGTCAGGTATACTGAGTTTGACAAAATCTGTAAATGAGACTGAGTCAGCCAGCTAGGTAAAAACATTTCCTGCCTTTTATGGAACCTGAAGGCTCATTACTACATCAACAAGAGCCGATCACATGTTCCTATCTCAAGCCAAATAAACTCAGTTCACTCATTCCAACCATGCTTCTTTAAGATAAAGTTTAATATTATTCTCCATCTAAACCTATGTCTTTCATGTGATCTGTTCTTTCAGGTTTTCTAACGAAAACTTGTATTCTTTCCTATATCCTCCATATGTGACAAATTCTCCCATCTATTTCATCCACATTGATTTTATTATCTCAGTAATATTACAAAATGATGAAGCTCCTCATTATGCACATTTCTTCAGCCTACTGTGACTTCTTCCCTTTTAGGCCCAAATATTGTCATTAGCACCATTTTCTCAACAAACACTCTCTGCCTGTGTTCCTCCCTTAACATAACAGACCAAGTTTTATAGCCATATAAAACATAGGTTACTTTCTAGCACAGAATCAGATCAACCCATGAGTCCTCTACGAGTGAAAGCAGACGAGAAAGAGGCACTGCAGCATAAACAATAGTAAACATCATTTAAAAGTACAGCAGAGGCAATTAGTTGGTGTTAGGAAATTACACGATGGAACCAGCTACAGGAGTAAATGTTGTGAATTCTAATTAAGACCTTACCAGCTGTTATGACTACAAAGTCCTTCCGCTCATCTCCGGTAGCAAATGGCATTGTGGATTTGGAGACCTGCAAACTACATTAGAAAAATATAATTGGTCTGAATGATTAAATATATGTAGACGTAGCAGAAGCATATTTATACATATAATCTGATTTGCATGAAGACAAAAGAGTGAATTTAATTTTTATGTCTAACCAACTAACTGAGGGGTGCACGTAGTAGTGTAGTTGGTTGAGGCACTATGCTACAAGCCAGAAGGTCGGGGGATCGAATTCTAATGAGGTGGATTTTTTTCAATTTACCTAATCCTTCCAGCCATGTTGTGGCCCTGGGGTCAAGTCAACTTCTATCAGAAATGAATACCAGGAATATTCCTAGAGGTAAAGTGCAGCCAGTGCATAAGGCTGACAATCTCACGGCCATCTGTGGGCCGATTGTCTAGAAAATGTGGGAGCCTCAACATCTCACAACCCTATGGGCATCCATGGCCTGTTGCAGGGATACCTTTACTCACTTACTTACCAACTAACTGAATGAATGACTCCATAGAGCTAAATCCTTCTTGATAACCTGACAGTTGTCAAGTTACTAAAGAAATAACCAGCATTTTATGGAAGCCAAAGGTTCATTACCATGTTCACAAGAGCTTGCCACTGGTTCTTATCCTGAGACAGGTAATTCCAGTCCACTGCTCCTATTACATTTATTTAAGATTCATTTTAATAATATCCTCACATCTGACAAGGGTAGGTCTTTGAAGTGGTCTCTTCACTTTAGACTTTTTGACAAATTCTATATGCATTTCTTATCTCTCTCATATGTGACACATTTCTTGCCCATCTCTTCCTCCTTGATTTGATCATTCCAACAAAATTTGGTGATGAATACATATTGTGAAGTTCCTCACTGTGAATTTTCTCCAGCATCCTGTGACTTGATCCCTCTTAGGAGTCACGTGTTGGGAATGTCATGGGACAAATAACTTTACGTGGGTCTCGGATTTGTTGGTCCAATTGTCTCGCATTCATTCCTCGCTTTCATTCTCGTGGTGTTCTGCTGGCAACGTTTGCATTCGGTCTTGTTGTTCTGCTGGCATCTTTTTGCACTGTTCATTCTCCCACATCCACCCCTCTCTTCAGTGGTGCTCGTCCCTAGCACTTCCAAGGTCCAGGATTTGTTGTGACTCCATTCTTCCTTGTTTTATAACGTAACACTCGTTGTGCTCATAAATTTAATGATTCTTCCAAATTCGCCGCAGAATCCGAACTGATCCCACTTCTGACACCAGTTGTCACGTGTTCGGTATGTCACGCTCCATGTTCTCAAACACCCTCAGACTACGTTCTTCCCTTAACAGGACAGAACAAGTTTCACACCCATACTAACCTAAAATTGACAGTTATTCAGCTGGTCAACAGACTTCCTACCCAGTGATCCATTACCATGTTCACACTGGTTTCCCTCCCTCCTGAGCCTGTTCATTCCAGTCACCTCCTTCATATACTATTTCCGTGAGGTTCACTTTAATACCATCCTCTCATCAAAGTCTAGGCATCTCAAATAGGGCTCTATTTGGGGTTTTTCCAAATACAATTAACACCCATTTCTTATTCTTATAGGCTACAATCCCTGTTCAGCTTATCACAATGACTCAATAACTAAACCAATGTTAGATGAAGAGCATAAGAGCTGCTCATTATAGAAACATTTTCTTTCCACTGCTCTGTTACTTCATCATTCTTCATGTTCGGATATTCATTCCTCCTTCAGAATAACAAGTCAAGCTTTATAGCTACATAGACAATTGGTAAAATTACAGTGTTGTAAATTTATATATTTTATGGTTTAAGAGGAAGACAGGAAGATAAGGATTCTGAACTGCAGAGTACATTAAAACAGAAGCAAGTGTTTCTTGCAAAGCTAACATTGCTCAGCTAGACGGGAAATTCCCTTCCCTTAATGGTACCTGGAAGTTCATTTCCACGTCCAAACAGGCTGCCACAGGTCCATATCATAAGCCAGATGATGCAGTCTACATCATATTCTAGTTCTCTAAGATTCACTGATCTATGGCTCCCAAGTATCTCTTTCCCTTTCCTTCAGGTTCTCCAATTAAAATTCTGTAAATATTTCTCTTCTCTCATGTGTTACATATTCACCCAGCTAAGCCTCCTTGATTTAAAGATACTCATAATATATCATGAAAAGTATAGATTATGAAGCTGCTCATTAAACAGTTTTCTCCAGCCTCTTGTTAGTTCTTCCTTCTTATATTCAAATATTGTCAGCACAGTGTTCTCGCAACACCTTCAATTTACATGTATGTTTTCCTCCTTTGGTAACAGACTAAGGGAGGATGAGGAAAAACAAATACAGAGGAGGAGGAGGAAAAGAAGAAACAAAGGGAGGAAGAGAAGAAAAAGAGATCAGGGAGAAAGAAGAGGTAGGATAGAAAAGAAGTACGAGATAATGGAGAAACATAAGCAAAGAACAATAAGAACAAGAAGAAGGAAAAAGAAGAGAATAATGAAGAGAAACAGAAGGCTTCTCCCTGACTTCTTAAGCCTTAAAGGTTCAATAGATACAACCTTTATTTTCTCTGTAGGATTTATTTTCTCACCAAAACAAAACTAGAGAGAGAGTACCCTATAATGTAGTACAGAGGATTCCCAAAGGCATTCACAGAAGTTTATTAGGCTTGTTTCCTGTCAGTTTATAATCAGTATTTCTGTAAAGCACAAAATGTATTGAATGAAATGAACAAATTTCATATTCCAACAGAGTAATAAAAACTAACTTTATGCAAACTGGGCTTCGTTATTGACCAAAATAATTGAAAAACTTAATTCCTTAATAAATTTTCATGATTACATTTCATCATGTTTCAAAAACAGTTTATGATAGACCTACATCAAAAACGTGCAGGTATTACATCATGTAAAGTGCACTTTATGTCAAAAAAAAAAAGGTAAAGATACTCATACTTACTTACTTACTCATGGAGCTGAGCCCTTCTGGAGGAGCCGCTAATTCTGCAGCTACTCAAGAATTTCTCAGCATTTTATGGAACCCAAAGGTTAATTACTGTGTTCACAAGAGCTCTCCACTGGTACCTATCCTGAGCCAGATCAATCCAATCCATACCATCCCATCTCTCTAAGATCAATTTTAATATTTTCCACCCACCTACATCTTGGTCTTCACAGTGGTCTCTTTTCTTCTGGCTTTCCCACCAATATCCTATACGCATTCCTCGTCTCCCCCATCGTGTTACATGCCCTGCCCACCCCATCCTCCTTGACTTGATCATTCCAATTATACTTGGAAAAGAGTACAAGTTATGAAGCTCCTCATTACGCAGTTTTCTCCAACCTCCTGTCACTTCATCTGTCTTTGGTCCAAATATTCTCCTCAACACCCTGTTCTCAAACACCGTCAGTCTATGTTTCTTCTTTAATGTCAGAGACCAAGTTTCACACCCATACAGAACCACAGGCAAAATTATAGTTTTGTATATTCTAATTTTTATGTTTTTGGACAACAGACGAGAAGACAAAAGGTTCTGGACTGAATGGTAGCAAGCATTACTCAGAGTTCAATTGCCTCTTAATTTAAAGATACTTATACTTGTCCAATTGTACTTGTGTAACAGTTTATAGATGTAAATAAAATTAAAAAAAAAAATCCCCAAAACAGAATCGGTTGACAAACATTAAGCAAAGATCTCTGGTAACAGATTTCATTTCAAAATTGCAACATNCGAAACGTCGGTTAACACCACATATACACGGTGCCAAATCCCAGAAGACTGCTTTCTTCATAGTCACTGACGTGAAAGCCTCAAATCTTACAATTTCAATGATAGTTTATGACAAACTTAAAAGAGGTCTGTGTACGACCTTGTACACTTCGTTAAGAATCAATGTGGGAGAAAATCGAAATTCCCCAAGACTTCTGTGGAAGTATCTTATAATGTTAATTTATATATGTTAATATAAGTTCGGGGTTTACGTACTGATTAGGTCGCAGGCAGAGAGGCATGCATGTTCTCAACTTAAAAAAAAAAAGACCTGACCGGCGGTTGAAGTAGTTAAAGTAGTGATCGGTAGTGATTAGGTCACTGACAGACGAGCTGATATGCCCCATGCCTTCCACATATGGCGTTCTTCTAACTAGTAGCCGAATACCTACAATTTATTTTTTTACAGACTTGGCTTCCTTTCAAATTAACGAGCACGTACAACATACGAATATGTTCACATATGTAATGTGCTTACACAATTTTTGCAGTGTTGTAAAGCCTGAAATTATACTCCGCTCACCGACGTTCCATGCTTTAAACACATACAACACGAAGCAGAATATTTGGAAGGTTTGGAAGTCTCCACAGAATATTGACAAAATACTATTTCAAGCGTAATGGTAACCATGGCAACGACTAAACAAATAACACAATTTAAAATGTCCCTAAGTTTGGTATCTTTCGGTAACTGTGATCGGTTACATTGGTATTAGCTGTGTAATCACAGGTGACGGGACACACGGATCACTAAGTTGGAGGGAAGTACTTCGTAGTTGAAGAAAGCAGTCTTCTGGGATTTGGCACCGTGTATATGTGGTGTTAACCGACGTTTCGGAGGAACGTATCGCCTCCATCTTCAGGGTAGAAGAAAAAGTATAAGAAATCTGCAAGCGACAAGACCGTGAGAACGGTAAAAGCAGCCACGGTCTTGTCGCTTGCAGATTTCTTATACTTTTTCTTCTACCCTGAAGATGGAGGCGATACGTTCCTCCGAAACGTCGGTTAACACCACATATACACGGTGCCAAATCCCAGAAGACTGCTTTCTTCATAGTCACCGCCGTGAAATACTTCGTAGTTGTTACATAGGGAAACCGTTGACACCTCAAAGACGGCAAATGAATGCGGCATTTCCAAACATCTGAACGGGGAAAGCNGGCAACGACTAAACAAATAACACAATTTAAAATGTCCCTAAGTTTGGTATCTTTCGGTAACTGTGATCGGTTACATTGGTATTAGCTGTGTAATCACAGGTGACGGGACACACGGATCACTAAGTTGGAGGGAAGTACTTCNGGATAAGCAAGAAGTTGAGGTTACGTTAACCTTGTTTTGAACTATCACGGCAGGATGCATGAAATTAAAATTTTTATAAATGTATTGAATGTTAGGATTGGATTGTGAGCACATGAAGCAAAGCCTCAACGAAGAAGCCTTGGTAACGGTTGGTGAAGAGACGCTGGTAACCTGTGCAATGGCTTATCTTGTAGATTTCTGATCAGCCCCGTGAAACTCTCATGTTATTGTCTGGCAAAAAGGCCGCCATGACACCACGATTCAATGCTGCTGCCATCTCTACGCATTTACCCCTAACTAAATACAAAATGATGGCCAGATCCGACAGCCCAAACGATAAGAAGGTATGTTAACATATCACCTTTCGGGTGCTCCTCGCCCCCCGTCGTACTTATGAAGCCGTTTGTAGGAAGAATAGGAATAAATCATTTTGCAACCAGATCTCTTGCACTGCAGAGGTTCCTACATCCCCCTTTTTTAATTCTGTTCAGTATCACTTCACCCATATCTATTGGGAGGGATATGAGTGAAGTGATATTAAACCTGGCTCCCCTTGAAAAAAAAAGAACAATATAGTAAGATCATCTGTAGTACATGATATTTGGTTGCAAATTATTTTTCTCACCAGTGCCTGGAAAGTACTAACCTTTCTTTCACATCACACACCTCTTTATCCAAATGCACCGGACATTGTGAGCTGTAACATATATGGAATACATGTATTTAGGAAAGCTGAAGATGGGGAAATTTGAAAGAAAATTCTGTTTTCATCAGACACACTTATATTAAACCTCATAAGTTGCTCAAAACTTACACTTGAAAGCCACACGTGAGATAATTTTTCGGTTATGTTTAAGTATTATAAATCATCCATAGTAAGCAACAACACTCAGGTACCCATTTATTATTAATCTCATTAGAATGATGGAACTCGAGAATGTGAACTACATCCTTGTCAACAAGATTAATACTGCATTTAATGACACATAAAAATGTGATATATTCATCTTCACCAGTTAGGTACAGGGCAGACAAATATGGCAAAAATAATAACATATCTTACAGAAATATAATGAATACTGAAAATCTGAAATCTTTTCATATTCCAGTTCAGTAATGGAAAGAATTATATGGCAAAAATAATAACATATCTTAAAGAAATACAATGAATATTGAAAATCTGGTATTTATTCACATTCCAGTTCAGTAAGGAAAAGATTACACATGGAGCTCAGCCCTTCTGGAGGAGCTGCCAATTTTGCAGCTACTCAAGAATTTCTCCGCATTTTATGGAACACGAAGGTTCAGTACCGTGTTCACAAGAGCCCTCCACTGTCCCTATCCTGAGCCAGATCAATCCAATCCATCCCATCCCATCTCTCTAAGACCCATTTTAATATTTTCCACCCACCTACATCTTGGTCTTCACAGTTGTCTCTTTTCTTCTCGTCTCCCCCATCATGCTACATGCCCTGCCCACCTCATCCTCCTTAACTTGATCTTTCTAATTATACTTGGAGACGAGTACAAGTTATGAAGCTCCTCATTATGCAGTTTTCTCCAACCTCTTGTCACTTCATCTCTCTTCAGTCCAAATATTCTCCTCGACACTCTGTTCAGTCCGACGTTTGAGCAAAAATTTCGGACGTTTCACGTCTTGCTGATCATCTTTGCATTGTTCCAGATATCGTACGAGTGGCCCCACATATAGCAAAGAAACGTACCTTCGTTCGATTCTTTATATGGTACAACAACTCATATTTCAATGCCGTCTGTGGGAGGAAGTCGTTCTACTTTATAATAGCTCTATTTCATGAAATAATTAAATAACAATCATGCCATTTGATAGAGATAATTTATTTCCAGATTACAGATTTATCATAAATAATACATTTTTATTAGAACTTCTTCAATTTATTGTATCTTCAATCACACATGTTGTACAAATCCTGCAATGAGTCAGTACCTTGCCGATAGAGTGACACGGTTAGGGGCTTAGTCTTTGGCGCCGTAGGCCCCGTGGCGCTTTGTTGCACTTCAGCGGTGATCGTGGTGATTGGACTTGGCGCGAATTTGTTTAGATGGTGCGTTAGTGTTCAGTGATATACAGGAAATTTTTATACCTTTATTCGTAAGTTTGAGAATTTGGTGAAATGAGCACCCAGCCGGAATCTTCAGCAAATGAAAATGGTGACGGTGAAATCAAAGCAATGGATGTTAATTTGAAAAATGCTAGGGGAAATCCTGACACAGTTAACCTTGCCCAACCTCCCGTAGAAGTAAGAGAATTGGAGTATGTAGAAGGAATGATGCATGTCAGTAAGGAAAACAAGGAAAAATGTACAGGAAATAACAGTTTAATGTCAGATATTATTGATGATACAAAAAGTTACGAAAACAAGGGACTGTTGCCTTCACCTGACAACTTGAATAGAAGTAATCTCCCTACACATACTATCAGTCCTGTTTCATCAAATTGCAATTCCGATTATTTTAACGCTGCAGGAGATGCTGCTGTAAGTGTTGAACATGAGGAATATCAGTATTTAAATCATATTGATAGAATCATTAAACATGGCTTCAAGAGGTGTGATCGCACTGGAGTTGGCACTTATTCCTTGTTTGGAGCACAGATGCGATATTCTTTGAGAAATGGTAAGTCAGAGAAGCTGTGGGTTTTCCTGCTATTTTTAAATGTATAACTTTTCTCATTAAATGTGTAAATATTCTACAATAGACAAAATCCAATCAGTAAGGATAATTGACAATATAAACATTTTTTTCCTTTTTTTTTCTGTTGGTCCATACTGGTACAACCATTGGATATAGGAAAGTCCAAAAGGAATAAAAGAGTACAGTTATATTAATAATAAGACATGTAATCATTAAAAGCTTTGTTGAAGAAAAATAGAAATGATAGAACACTGTAAATATTGATACAGTGATGTTAAGATTACCATCAGAAATAGTTATCTAGTTTTATGCATAAAGGAATCATCCACAGTATAAAAAGAATGCTCATGCAAATAATTTTTAATGCTTAAAGCTTTTAATATCACATGCTAAGTCCTTAATATCAGCTGGGAGATGATTATATATCTTAATGCCTGCTTAGGTGCGACTTTTATGAAACATCGTCAAGTGAGTCGTTACTTGAAAAAAAATTAGAATTATTCATGGTATTAAAATTATGAATTTCAGAATTTTGTTTAAACAATTATTTATTGGTAACCATAAACAGAGCTGGGATGCTAGAGGTACTATATTTAAAATTTTAAAAACATTTATCCAAGAATACCTGGGTCTTGCTTCCATTAGTATTCTAACCATTCGTTTTTGGAGTTTGAAAATATTTTGTACTGTGGGAAGAAGTTCCAAGAAAATTAATCCATATGTTATAACTGAATGAAAATAAGCATGATAGATTATCTTTAGGGAATTTAATGATAAGAAAGGTCTGATTACTCTTGCAATATGACACACTTTGTTTAATTTGGAAGTCAGCATATCAATGTGACTCTTTCAAGACATAGTATTGTGAAGTACTAGCCCAAGAAACTTTAGTTTGGTAGTATTGGCAATAATTTTGTTATATTTAATTTGTATTTCGGAATTAATAATGTATTTAGAGCGGAATCCCATACAGCATGTTTTGTCCAGATTTAGTGAGAGTAAATTTGCCTTAGAACCATTTCATCACATCTTATAATCTTACAGAAAACTCTTTCAGTGCTTCTTAATGACAGCAGAAAAGTGAATACTGGTATCAAAGGGTAATGCAATGAAGGACATTTCAGAAGTAATCCTTAGAATCTTCCTTAATATAAATCATGTGCCTATAATAGCAAATAATATTAAAAATATGATTTCTTTATCACATCAATATGCATGTGGTTATGATAAAATATAAACAGTACTTGAAACTTGCAAAAATTACATTAGTGTCAGTCAGCACACAAGTAAAAGGTACAGACGAAGTCCCTGTATTTAACTAGTTAAAAACTGCACCACAGAGACACAATGGGGGAATGGATGTATAGATCCACATATTGATGTCGGCACTAGCTTCACAGCCTGACTGCTTTACTGCTGAGTACCCATTGGAGCCTCCAGAACCTGTCTGGATAACATGGAGAGGAGAAAATCTTGCCCCAACTGGAATTCTTACCTTTCAGCTGTCCAGTCAGTCACTCTACTGACTGTGCTATCCTGGCTCACAAACAATATACACAAAGGAACAATTTGTCTTTAGGTATATGACAATGATTAACCCTCAGCCTCGAATCCAAATCTATATTCTTTCCTAATTATTTATTATTTCACTTCCTGAAATTGATTACTTTTATAATTATGTGAAGGACATATTTTATAGCATGAACAAATCGTTTAAATCCAACAAATATATGGTGAATAGGGGAAAAAAATTCATGGAATTCACTGGCATTAGTGAAAAATTTATTACCCAAAATTGCTGCAACACTAAAAGTTATCATATTAATTTAATTTTAGTTCTTATCGATTTTTTCAATTACAGATCTCGAAACAAATCATAACATACAATACAGAGTTCATTTGGGTCAACAGCTTTTATTTTATATATTTTTCTGTATGGTTAATACATTGCAGTTGGTTATGTGCCTGTCAACCATATTTCCAAGCCCCTGCTGCTGTATTAAACACTGAATCAGTTCACTCAGAATTACTGGGTTTTTGGACTTTTTCCATTGTCCGGCATTCTAGAAAACAGAAAACATGACATTTTGGAAATTTGATCTGTTTCCGTCCTCAGGTGAGTGGGGTGGAAGACACCTATTCAGTTGGGTCCCTTAGAAAGAACTAACCCCCTTTTGTCAAAATGTCACTTGAGAGTTACATATTGAAGTGGATGTTCATGTATGGTATCCATATAAATAGTTAGAAGATGCCAACACAAATTTCAGGTGTTAAGTTCAAACTGGAAAAGAAAAAAAAAAACTATTCCTAGTCATTTGTACATTTAGACAGCAGGGATATTGTCGGACAAAATGAAATGAATGAGAATGCTGAGTGGTTATTGAAAAGGAACTTGGATGAAATTTGCATTAGGGCTAAACATTCTCTTTGAAAATCTCTTCGATGCCTTGTACAGGAGACCGGAGTTTGAAGTTTCCTGTATTTCTGAAAGGGAAGTAAAGTGCATGGATGTGAATATTTTATGGAGGTCCAAGGAATTCATGCCTAACAACAGAAACCTTTTCAGACATGTGCTGTGATTTGGGCAGATATTGTTGAGCCATGACTGCAACCTTCCATGTTCTTTCCAATTCATTATTCAGCAATTATCATACTACAGGGAGGTCCAAAAATGTACTCACTCTTTAATAGTCAATATCTTTGGAACTACATGACATGTAGTTACAATTCTTGCGCGGTAGTGTAGTGTAACGTTTTCTCAACAGATAGTGAAGGTCACATGAGTGACGTGAGTGTCGTGCCATGTGCGCGCTGTGAGCAGAAGACGGCAACAACAATGGCTAAAAGGTTCTTTGAGCAACGCAAGGCTGTATTGAAGTGGTACTGGACGAGGTGCAATTCAAAATGAAAGGTACTGTTAACCGCCACAATTTTGTGTATTGGGCTCCTGTAAATCCACGTGTTCACATGGGCAAGGAAGTGACTCTACTGGGTGTTAATGTGTGGTGTGGTCTGTCGTCGCGCGTTTTGATTGGTCCTTTCTTCTTTGAAGGTACCGTAACTGGTCAGGTGTATCTCGATATGCTTCAGACATCGATTTTCTCTGCCATTTGAGAGCTGTTTGGAGATGAGAGATTTTACCATCAAGATGTCAGGGCATACTTGGATGACACTCTACCTGGACGATGGATAGGTCGAAGAGGTGCTATTGAGTACCCACCATGGTCTCCAGACTTAACACATCTCAACTTCTACCTATGGGGAACCTTGAAGGATGAAATTTATCAACAAACGCCAGCTACACTTAACACACTACGAGAAACCATTGAAGCGTCGTGTGGACCCATCACACTGGACACACTGACAGCTGTAGTTCACTCAGCAGTTTGGTGGCATCGACACTGTTTAGCCGCTGATGGTGGTCACTTCGAACACATACAAGAACTCTCTCTCCACGCAAGAATTGTAACTAAATGTCATTTTGTTCCAAAGATATTGACTATCAAAGAGTGAGTACATTTTTTTGGACCCCTCTGTATTTAATAAGGCATTCTTCATTTTCCATGTACATGTAATTAATGTTATACTTTTCCATCCTGTAGGTAATATTGGTGCAAATAAACAGCCTTCTTGTATTCACTCATCCTTTTCTTACACATGTCAGATATTTTTAGAGGAGGCTAAGTATATGAGTTGGTGGGTAGATGTGAGTGTGAAGCAGATTATTTTTTCAGAACTGCTGAATTTTTTTAGTTTTTTGTTCTGGTACTTAATATTGAAATACTGTATTCTTCTAGCAAACCACTGACATTGCTTATTATTAAGTAAAGTAAACATAGGAATATAAGTTTTCAGAGTGTGGTCTTTAGGTTATGACACAATGTACTAATGCAGGAGGATACCATTTTCAAACAGACATGCTTCATCTATCAGCATGTTATACAATATTATAGTGTCACAACTGAGATGAGTCCAATCCAGTATTCATTACCATAAAAAAATTGAAAACTTATACAAGTTCTTTCAAATTACTTAAGTCGCTAGCTAATGTTAATTTAATTCCATACAAAGCAAAATGTTGTACTTTTACCAAATAAACTTTGCCTGTTTTATAAATCACTATTGCTGTGTAAAGAAAGAGTCTGAGTAGATATCATTAGAATCTTAAATTATTGTCTGTTAGCATATTATATTATTCATTTCTATAGGGGTGTTTCCACTTCTAACAACCAAGAGAGTGTTCTGGCGTGCAGTGGTGGAAGAACTGCTGTGGTTCATTAGAGGCTCCACAAATGCCAAAGAGCTACAAGAAAAGAATATCCACATTTGGGATGGTAACAGTTCACGGCAGTTCCTCGACTCTTTGGGATTTAATGATCGAATTGAAGGTGTGCTTATTTTATGGAGAAAAAAAGTTTTGTACAATATAATTTGTTTATATTTGCAAAGTTTTTACTTGTAATTTTTATTCCATTCTTATAAAAACAATATCTTATTGTACAGCATTAGTAGTGTCTATTTTTGCAATATACTTAGTAATACAGTGAGATGTAGGGACCTACATCACTTTATTGTTAAAGTTAATTTAAATCAACAGGAGATCTAGTTAGAAATGAAAATATATAATATGAGGATTTCTTTACACATAAATGTAGAAAGTTGTAGTAATTACAAACTTGCTGTTGTTTTGGCCTCTGCCAGCTGAAATGAATATATTCTACAATGGATGTATCCATGGAATGAATATTGTTATTTCCAATGACATAAAAATGCAGCTGGCTATGCAGTTATCAGAATACATTATTCTTGAAGCCTTTGTGAATGATGATAGCTTATGCAGTTGTGTTGTTAGTTTGTCCCTCTTTGTACCATCACAATAGAATCTTACATTATTTCTTCCTGCTTCACTTCCTTAAAAGTAAGCTTATGGGATCATAGTTCTGTCTGTCTGCTATATCAACTTCTGAACCAGTTGATCATACAACTATTATGCCCACTGGAGACCACCTCAGCATCATGCCATTTAATTTAGAAACCTGATAAATTTTAAAGAATGTGGAACTTTTATTTAAGAGTGCAAAACAACAATGTGGTGGTTGTGTGAAAACTATTTTACCTATAATTTTGATGGCAATAACCAATGAACCAATGGAGCTAGGCATGCAAAATCTGTTTATGGACTAACAATAACAAGTATGGTAATAATGCAGTATTTTTAGGTTATATGTGACAAGTTTAATGTAGAGAGAATCTGTATTTATACAGTTTATTACAAAACGTAAAGTAAAATAAAATAATTAAACAACAATAACAAAAAAGTAAAAAAAAAATAATAAAGCTATCCCTGTAACAGGCCGTGAAGGCCCATAGGGTTATGAGACGTTGAGGGTCCCACATTATCTAGACAATTAGCTCAAAGATGTCAGCCTTACGCACTGGCCGTGCTTTACTACCCAGGAAAATTATTTAATTAATTCTTGGTACTCATTTCTGTTAGAGGCTGGGTCGACCCCAGGGCCATAGTGCAGCCAGAAGGACTAGGTAAATTAATAATAACAACAATAATGGTGACATCTGTAGTGCCAAAAGTCTTCTCAGTAGGTAATCATACTTTATGAGTTCAGCTCAGGCCGTTATTAATGGTAATGACTGAAAAGCATTCACACACTATGACAAGGGCAGCAACTCAACCAGGAATTTTGCGCATATTGTCGCATGTTGGATATGTCACGTGACAAATAACTTCACGTGGGTCTCGGATTTAGTGAATCTTTATTGGACACTCATGCTTACACACCATACAATTATTATCACTTGCAATATCACTTGACTTCTGGGCCAGTACTCCAATGTGACGTCTCAACTATCCTTGGCCATGGTTGGATCTCAACTGTCTCTGGCGGCAGCTATCCCAAGATTGTCTTGTTCTCAATACTCAGTACTCGATATTCAATTCTCAGTATTCAATACTCAATATTCATGCTCTGTTCTCAATTCTCCAGTACTCCATGTTCAATATTCTATTCGAGAGCTAGGCCCTTTATACAAGGCACACGCGGACTCAATAGAGGACACCCCTCACCAAGGTTCGATCTCACGTGTTCGGCAATCCGTTGCTTCGGGAATGCTCTTTATAGATTACACCGGTAACGTGTTTCTTCTCATCTGTTGCTATGATTTGTCGCTGTGTTAACTCCCCAATTTCCACATATTCATTGTCGTGGAAGTGTCTGTTCCGATTGTAGTGGTTGTAGCGGTGATGGACGTAAGATAACGCGTCACAACATGGAAACTGTAACAATTCCCATGTGCTATAAAACAATGTGTGTAATATACAGTAGCATGTAGAGCTGTTGCTGGGTAGTGACCTCGAAACAGACAACAAAACAACATTCGCCGCTAGGCAGCAGATTTTTAATAAGTATACGCAACCATTACTGGGTAATGCCTTTGCAAACAAGCACATTCCCATGGAAATTATTTGAGCAACAATAGAAGAGCTGTGTTTTCTGTTGGTCTGTGCCGAGATGTTAGAAGCAAGGGACAAAGTTTGAAGTTAGTCAGTTGTAAGGAAGGAAGATAATTGTATGGGAGTCTATGAAGAGAAGACTTGGTCACTGCAGTTGAAGAATCTCCATGGTTAAGATCCGTTACTGGGAAATGCCTAGTGAAAGCAAGACTGAAAAGACGCTGTAGTAATTGGTAAAATGTGGAAATAGTGATAGTGTTATAGTTATTTGTAGTTATGACCTGTAAGTGGTCAGTAAATCCAATCTCCAATCCTAAACCCTGTCAAGAGTCACTCTTAACATGTGACAATATTTTACTTCACTTGGCACATGTGTACCGAACACATTTGACTGCCCCATTCATGATGGGTGGTGGTGCTAGTTATTTACTCACAGATCATTTAATAATGTTGTATTGACTAAGTTTTACTGATAAAACTAAAGCTTCATTATTTATGACAGGACATAAAGTGTTTAACCCTTTCATTGCCATATTATTTTCTGTACTAAACTATAGAAGTGATTTTGCCAGCTCACAAAACCAGCTTTCGTCAGGTAAGCAGTCCACAATTACCTGTCAGAGCACTCAGTTTCTCAGAAAATATTCAGATGTATGCTTCCTGAATAAAAAACAGCGTTAGTGCTAAGTTGACACCTCCTGGTTTATTCATGGACGCTTAATACTTTATTGTAGGAGACCTTGGACCTGTGTATGGATTTCAGTGGCGTCACTTTGGAGCTGAATATAAGGACATGCACACTGACTATGCTGGTCAAGGTATTGATCAACTCCAGCAAGTAATCAACACACTGAAGTCCAAACCATATGATCGTCGCATGATCATCTGTTCATGGAATCCTACTGATATACCGAAAATGGCTCTTCCACCATGTCACTGCCTTGTTCAATTCTACGTTGCCAATGACGAGCTCTTCTGCCAGCTGTATCAGCGTTCAGCAGACATGGGGCTTGGAGTACCATTTAATATTGCTAGTTATGCATTACTAACTTACATGGTTGCAAAGGTGACAGGTCTAAAGGTACAGACACTTTAATTTCTATGTAGTGAAATTCTGGTATAATTGGATTTTCTGTAAAATTTTGAAAATATCAAGTTATAGAAGATGTTTAGTTTCATGATTTCCTTTATGACACATTTACTTACTGGAGAATGTTGTATTGGAACTGTTCTGTATGTGATGTATGTATGCAGTTTCCACATATTTGTAAAGTAAGTTTTCTCATGAAAAGCACTGCCTTCTGGGATATACTGCTATGCAGTCTGTTAAAGTCTTTCAATTGACTACATGGTGTTATATCCCAGAGATAGTACTCTTCATAACCACTGCTGTGAGAACCTCAAATCCCATATTTTCTCACGATATTGTTAAAACTACATGAAATTCAAACCTGCAGCAAACATTTAAATGAAGCACCAAACTGTTAGTGTTTCTAGCAAATTTAATTTATAATGCATTTGTGACAGATCAGCTTGTCATTAGAAATTACAATGTTCGTTGCTCCTTTAATCCATTTAAATGTCTCATCTTGTCATGTAAACACAATCCTTCATAGATCTGAGAACCTCACAGTGGTGACTGTGAAGAGTACTATCTTCTGGGATGTGACACTATGTAGTCCTGACATTTTGGAAGAACGTCAGTAAACTTCTACCAGACTACAAAGTGTCATATTCCAAAGCTTGGTGCTTGCTTGGCTTCAAGTATGAAGATGAAGGCAATGCAGTCCTCTGAAATGGTAAACTTCTGTAGACTACACAGCATCATGCCTCACAAGATGGTATTACTTCCCAAAATGCAAAAACTAAAGGTGTTGAATCTGGTGACTTTAGAGGCCAGGGTCATGTGCTGCCTTTAACAGTCTAGTGTCTGGACATCCAGTCAGTCAAAGCACTGAGTATACTAAAATAGGGCAGGCAATAATGGACATCCTTAGTGTCACTATAACTTAATTGACAGTGAATGAGTTCATTATGCATCAGTATTCCCCAGTGTCCCTCCTGCTTACTCAAGTACCTGTACCAAACTTCCCTTCTGTTCAACTGGTTTATGCCATACTGCCACAGACTATGCTGTAAGTTTTGCTGTCCTTCAGTTTGTTCTCCTACCCAATATATATTTCACTTTTATATTCTCATGTTTCCATTCACTTTCTCTTCTCCCATTTAAACTCCACATTAGAATTCTATAATAATTACAATAGTGTGCTGCTTGCAGCATCTCTAAAGGTCCATATTTAAAGACTGAGGCATTTTCTGATATGAAAACTATGACATCTGTCATAAGCAGGGAAAGAATTTGGGGGGTAAAAAATTACTTTATAATTATTCAGCACAGAATCACAAGTAAAATACTGAGTAAATGAAAGATACAAATTTTTCAAAGGTCTCTTATCACACAAACTAAAACAGAGTGTGGGATTGTGTTTGTAGAGACAACCACACGGTAAACTTCTATAACAAATATTTATTGTTGCTAGAAGTTGACTACATGGTTGTCTCTTCAAGCAACGACAATCCCACACTGGTGACCTTGACATATCGTCCAGTAGGTGGTTGTGTTTGCTGCATGAACCTGAAAGGTATGCCTACTACATGGCTATAAATATTTATTCAAATGAAACAGCGATCCTCTCACTAGAATAAACAGTAGAACTACTACTTGTGCACTGATGGTGATCAAATGTGGGCACATACCTCAGTCCTTGTGATGCATCAGTGCAATTCCTGAGAGTTTGGGGCCAGAGGCCTCTACCAAGAGGATCACTCAGTGATTATTAATGTTATTGTTTTCCTTACCCTATAACTAGCCAAGTGCCAGGTCAGCAACGATGCCACTATGCTGCTTGTTCATGGATATTATAAACCTTATTGTTTGTTCTGCTTTATAGCCAGGTGAATTTATTCACACAATGGGAGACAACCATGTATATCTGAATCATGTGGCAGCATTGAAGGAACAACTGAAACGCAAGCCTCGGCCTTTTCCAACATTACGCATCACTAGAGAAGTTCAAAACATTGAAGATTTCCAATATGATGACTTTGAGTTGTGTAACTATAGACCACATCCCAAGATCAGTATGGAGATGGCTGTATAAATATTTCATTGAACACTGTTAAAGGCATTTAGTATGTTTTGTGCTGAACAGCTTAATTAAAAAACAAAATCTGTATTTTTTGTAGATTATGAGTTTGATGATTTTATAAAAAAAATGTATCTTCTTTAAGTCACTCCCTATTCATCTTTACCAGTCTCACTTTGTTGAACTGGCATTTCATCGACACTGTTGTGAAGTGTGATTGTAGCTTCTTGCAAGCTTTCACTGTAAAGAAAACCTCTTCCTCCACCCTAAGCTGGAATTAAAATTTCACCTTCTGGTTGAATAATAATGTTGCATGAATCTGATATTCCATTTTGTCTCTGAGTTTGTATAAATGACAATTTTTGTGCAGAACTGGCATATGTGCAATCTATGTTTATATCAATTTCATAGGTTCGTTACTGAAAAAAATGAACATAGCTCCTCCAGATCATAACCCTCCTGAAGATGCAACTAACCACTATAAGAGTGTATAAAATCAATTGAGGGGGGGGAGTACAAATCACATTATATGGCTGGAAGTGCCGTAATAGCCAGAGATTTCAATCTGGCCAGTGATGGTTAAGCACTATGCCATGAACTTGTATGGGGGACTGAAGGTGTAGGTAGCTCCAATGCATTCTCAACCTTGGCACTTGAAGGTGACTGCTCATCTTCATGTTTTGACCACTCTAACTCCAGGGAAAGTCATCAGAACCCAGTAGATAGCAGTCTTGGTGGGCTCCAGAGCCTGTATGGAATCTCTGGGAAAGAGAAAAGCTGTTTGCCCCTGCCTGGAGTGAATCCTCAATTCTTCAGTTGTCCAGTTGATAGCCTAGTTGGTATACAAAGAGGGGTTCCCTTCTCAAGATGCAATTAAACCCCATAACAATCCATACTGTCAACCAGGCCTTGAAATATCACAAGCATAATATACAGGCCACTGTGCTTTTCTGGTGAATCACATACAAAGTAAAAGTATCTCAAAGGAACTCAGTTTTTGTCTTCTTTATAGTGGGCTGTTCTCGTGTTCTCATATATGTTCTCATGGCATGGTGCATAATTAATTAAGTGCAGGGAGAACTTTACCTTCTACCTAAACACATCCAAGAGGGAATAGTATGAAACATGGGCTGTGTGCAACACTGCAGTACACTGATCCCAGCAACAAGTAATCATAAGGTGCACTGCATGAAGGTGTGTGTGAAAAGATTAAATCCTGCAAATTATAACAATATTGAAATTAGCAATGATAAATACTGTGGGTATAAGACTGTCTTACAAACCTTACTTGAAGTGAATATTTATGGCCTGGGTTGTATCACATCCACACTGGAATTGGAGCTAACTGCACTTGTTTGTAGTAACAAATTTTTCAGAACATAAAAGATAGAAATCACATTTGAGCATCAAACAAGAATATGGCATTTTCTTCACTTTTGTCCTTACAATCCAGAATGTGAGGGTAACAGGAGTGGGAAATGATACAATCACAGTTATTGTGAAATGCCAATACACATACTAAATTAAACTGGATATGCTGTGCTGGCAATAAAGTATCCTTCACTGCTACTACCTCCTTCACTTGCCTTAAGAATGACATCAAATTTGCACCATTAATTAATCAAATCTGTATAAAACACTCTTCTGTGACACTCTTATTCAAGCTTACAACACAGATCATTGCAACTCCTTATCTGTAACAAACAGCACGAGCCAGTTCAAAAGATGTAAAGAAGAGACTACGTACTTTAAGATTAACTATATAAAAGAGTATATTTTATCATGACATTAAGAAAATGAAGACAAATAAATAAATCTCAGTAAATATTGCATTTTTAGAAAAACATTCCTTCACAATTATTTTGCTTGATACAATAAAATGTCCATGGAGATGATGGAAACGGTGTGAATTCGAAAACAGTATCTTTGCTGAAACCAGCAAAAATTGGATTTCAGATTAAGAAGTTTTGTATGAACTGATCAAGTCTGGTCATTTTTAATTTTTTTTTTAAATCTGCTAGTAGGGGGTGGAGTCCAACTGGGTCCACTTGGCATGGTGGCCACTGATTGGCCTATTGTAGCCTGCTCCAGGTGATTATGATGATTGAGAATTTGGTGGAATGAAGATTGGCAGGGGAAACTGAAACACTTGGAGAAAACCCACCCCAGTGCCACTTTGTACATCACAAAACCCACTTGACCAGACCCGGGATCGAACCTTGGCTGCCGCGGTGGGAAGCCAGTTACTAACTGCTTGAGCTATGGCGCTGCCACCTGGTCATTGTTAAGTGCTAGGCTCTCATTTTCATATGTAACTGAATAAAGGCATCTGTACAACAATACCTCCATGCCCTTGATATCATTTGTACACAGCTGATGTGACATCATTCAATCCCATAATTTAAAGTTCAAAGGATAACAATCAAGAAAATATGTAATACTAAATGTTAACAACTACACACATCATCAGCCAGTGTTTAATTTCTGCTTTATATTCAGGGCCTAACCATGAATGAATGGTGATATTTCTGAGTAAAAAATTACCAATACCATAATAATGTATAAAATCATATTCACGTTTGGACACATAATCAATTAAATATCCTGAATATGTCACAATCTAATCAAGTTTTCTTTATCATAAGGTGATACTGCAGATTATACAGATCCTGCCATGCAAATTATGAAAACAAAGGGAAATAATGTCTATGAAGTCTCATTTGTCAAATATGAACCTGAATGCTGAATAAAACTTGGGCAATTTGTTTCACAATTTAGGTTAGCTGTCCACACAAACTCCATATACATAAGAAAACGAGAAATGTTATTTAATGATTTTATGTCTGAAAATCACAAATTTTTTCCTGAAGTAATTTTTGGATTAAATAAGGACCATGTAATTACTTGTACATTAAATAAAAGCACATGTCAACAGGTCACAAAGTGAGGACCTATATAAGTCATACTGCACAATTAGTATTGTTAGTACAGTCAAATGAAGATTATGATGGGAAGGGGAAAACAAATATTAATAGGTTAAACTTTTGGAAAGTGGCTTCTTAAAGATCAAAGACATGGAATTAAAATGGATGAAGGGAATGTGAAATGGATTGAACTAGTTCTCAGTAATGTCAAATGGCAAGCTCTGGTACCAGCAATATTTAAAATTCAGGTATATTATAACTGGTATATTACACAAACTTGACAATAACCAAAATACATTTTATGAGAAATGAAATCTTTTACATAAGAACTGATGAGGTCAGTGAATTAACAGGCTAAGATTAACGAGGTGTTAATGCCATTTGAATAAACTGTTAATGAAGTATACAAATTAGAATATTAATATGATGTTAATGAAGGTCATATCAATGCAGTTAACTAACCAGTCCAAAAGCATTCAAAGATCCAGAATCCCAACTTCCTGGAGGGGCCTACCAATGCTGTTATGTTACTGGTACAGCTAACAGACATTGTGTCCTATAATCCTGATAGTTATTACATTATATCATATCTATTCAAGTAATTTTTCAGCCCTTGCATACCTTTCCCATTTTAGTTTGTGAAAATATGATTGTGACTTCGATTTTCCTTGCATAATTTACATGTCCAGTTTAGTAAAAGCTCATCCTGTATGACCTCTTCAGTTAGTAAAGAAATTTTAAACAAAATAATAATCCATTATCTATTGCTAAGTATGTAATTTTATTGTTGTGCCTTTTCTTTTTAAATGTCGGTGAATAATACAAGTACAACCAACGCTGATGCCTATCATTTGGTAAAAGGGTGAGAAAATCTTACATTGGATTTTATACTCAATAGTGTCATGAAAGCATCATTTACTTCTGCAGTGAGTTGTACACAGCGCTTCCAGGAAGTAAACTTATGCATTACGGGTCAGCTTGACTTGACAGGAGGAATATCCTATTTTTCCATCTGACTATACACTCACCGTACATGCAGAGTTCAAAAATAAACACACAGCCTTTATTATAATATCTCAAGGAGTCACTGTACCAGTTCTTTCAATCCTTTCAATTCTGTGTTAAATCCAATTCACCAAACAAGGTATTTGTCATCCTTAGTTTAAGGATAAAATTTTGGCACACAGAATGCGAAAATTATATAAGTAAATGTGCCATACACATTTTATAGCCATATATTTATATCATCAAGGGCTTTTGTTTCACACAAAGATTGCAAGTTTATGGCCTAGAGAAGAGAATAATATTTGTGGATGTGTTATGAAAATAAGTACAGAGCAGAATGTTTCTGTTCCAAGGTAAATGCAATAAATTTGTAAAACAAACTTGACAGAAGTCTCTTTCTGAAATCAATGAACGTCTGAAAAAATAAAGATTACATGGATAAATGAATCAATATGCATACTGAACAGTAGTCAACTGATAATTTTGGTGGCAGTCTATTTTTTTCATTCAACTGAAAGAATAATTATGGATGGGTCATTTTACATACTGCAGAAGCTTGGGATAACTTCTGACACATATGATCTTCCTATTGGATATGAGGTTTTCACAACAGTGATTATGAAGAGTACTGTTTTCTGGGATGTAACACAGTGCAGTCCAATAGAAGTCCAGTTAACATTTTGGATGAACATACTTCTGGCTGGTTTCTTTCTTGGCTTACTCTTTGACATTGAAGATGAAGGCAATACATTCCTCCAAAATACTGGGAACTTCTACTGGACTGCCTGGCAGTACATCCCAGAAGATCTGAATGATAAAAAATATAACTTTGATTGAAAATAAGGGATTTATCCTGAAACAATATACCTGGCTACAAAGAATATATCATATTGGTCTAATCAGATGAACTTGAATATAAGGAGATCCCCATTCTTGGAAGTCATAAGGAAGAAGAAACTCTGTATTTTAATAAAAGGTGATTATATGGAAACTGAATTTACAGTGTAATTATTAAAAAATATTGTCTTATAATCAGGCCAATACAGCAAATTCAAGAAAACTAATCTTTAGATCATCTTAAGTTCACCATCTTCATTCTTATTTCCATTTTTAGGTCTAACTAGCATGTTAAGAATATTACAGAACACAAACCTTTCATACTATTAATCTTCCTAAATGTAAATGGAAGGATGCTACACACACAATAGAAAACATTAAACATTTTTTAGAATCCTATTGACATGTACCAGTGACAAGGCATATAAACATTTAACTCACCATAACTTAATGACATGAAATGCTAAGATGGTCTCATAGACATGGAAGAAGACTGCCATGGTGAAGAAAAGGACATTTAATACAACATGAATTAACAGGTTTCAAAACAGTTAAATGAAAGGCTGAGCCAGAATGCAATTTATTCCAACAGTATAAGAAAAAAAAATTCCACGAACTACAATTATATTCCAGCCTTGCAAAAGCAAAACAGAGAATACTCTAATGCTTGCATCTGTACACAACAATCTGACCTATTCACAGATAATAAGACTACAAAAGATACTGGACAACTGTGATTAATGACAACCTAAAAATGATGATGGGATATTCCATTAACTCCAAATTTTAAATGTTCTAAACACTGACAGCAAATGTAATACTTAAAAGTGAAGAGCAAAATTCCTCTGGTCCAGTCTCTAGACATAAACATATCTCACACAAACCTTCCACATCCCTAGTACAAGAGTTCATTATTCTTCATCCATCTCACTCACACCTGGCTGATGTAAATGTTAACACATCATGTTAGTATCACCATCTTGTGTCTGCTGAACAGAATCCTGGCAATTAGAAACAGTTTTACAACATAAAAATCAAAATAAAACAATAGAAAATTATTTTGTTAAAATTAATACAAAAGAATATGATTTATCTTACCTACAATCAGAAACTGGCCTCCAGTCATTTTTGCCCTCCAAAGTTACTGGTGCAATATATTTAATTTCTTCAATTCTTCTAGCTTCCATGATTTTTTTAAGTTATTTCAGATTCAACAATATCCTTACTTTTTGCAGGGATAGTTATTTGAAACATTTGAAACAATGGTGAACCTAGATCATTATTTATTTCCATTTCCTAAATTTTGTCATTAACATTATCATCACCATACTGCTGATATTTCATTACATTCACCTAATCCCACATGTTATTTCTTTCATCCTTGTAACTCACATTACTGCTATAATTTAACTTTTTCCATGCCATATCTATTCTATATTCAAGATGTGTATAGAGCTGACATCAAACACCACCCAGGAAACAGTATCATTTTGGCATCCTATTAAATAAGGGCCAAGGAAGAACCTTTGCACATGGTTCATAGCATGATACATATTAACTCAGAATCCAGTGTGACATCCAATGGAACTGGCACTGGGTAGTCATATGACTGAACTACATGTAACCTGCATGTTGTTGATCGTCATCTAGTAATATGTTTCCTTCTCCAGACACATCCTGAACAGACTATAGTTGAACTCCTCCCTATACCTCCTCAGACACTTGGAAGTATCCCATTCTTCATCTGTCATCACAATCTAATTCATTCACTGATGTAATGTCACTGCTGTTCAAAGCAGTGCATGTCTGAAAATAACCTACATTCATTATGGACTTGTTCTCCAGAGTACACTGACAATTCATGTAAATGGGCTACCATCAATGGATGTCCAGTTCTGAGGTTCAACATGTCACAGCTCCTTTTTTTTTGTTACTATTATTTACAGTCTATTTAATAAGGCTTTTAGCAATTTAGCAGACTACAAGTTGCCCCTGCGTTTACGTAATTAAGCACCATGCCATTAAGATGTAGGGGAACTGGAGGTAAAACTCAGAACGTTCTTGACCTTGACACTAGTAGAGGTGAATGGTCAGCTTCACACCTCAGCTACTTTAACCCTAGGGAATGTGTCCCTGGTGCCCACAGGATGGGAGGCTTCCTGGGCTCCCAGAGTCAGTCTGGACACTGTGGGGAAGATAAAAATCTCTTGCCTCTGCTGGGAATTAAACCCCAGCCATCCAGCCTGTAGCCTGTCACTATACTGACTGAGCTATAGCTTTAAATATACAGGGTGTATCGAAACTCAACAGCAAAACTTCAGGATCAGACTCCTCATATAGAGAGAAGAAAAAAAGTGTATGAAAACAGGGTTCCGGAAATGCATAATTACAGAGTCATCCGAGCATGTAATTTACAGAGTGCAATCCGACACTCCCAACACTGTTGCACTGTGCACCTGAATATGTCTGTAATGCCAGCTGGAACACTCTGGTCACATGTCAGAGGAAATGTTCAAAGTGACCTCATCCTGCCTGAATACAGGCCTCCGCTTGTCATCACATTGAGAGCCACACACGATCAAAAATGCCCGGTGTAGTGCGTGCTGTCTGATAGGCTGCCACACTGCATGCATGGAGAGTTGGTACATCAGCAACAGCAATCGAATACATGACAGACTTTAAGTCTCCCCACAGGTAAAAGATCAAGGGGTTTAAGTCAGGAGAGCATGGTGGTCAAGCAATTGGTCCACCTCTACCTATCCAGTGCCCAGGATAATGTGCATTAAGGTGCCTGCGGACAGGCAGACTGAAATGCGCGGGAGCACTATCATGCATGAATTACAGCTGTTGACAGGATGCTAGTGGAATGTCTTCCAAGTAATCAGGCAATGTAGTATGCAAGAAATCTGTGTAGTTCTGTCCATTAAGCTTGTACAGAAGAACGTAGGGTCCTAACAAACAATCATCAACAATGCCTGCCTAGATGTGTCAGCGTGCACTCCGTAAATTACATGCTCGGATAACTCTGTAATTATGCATTTCTGGACCCATGTTGTCATACACTTTTTTTCTTCTCTCTATATGAGGAGTCCATTCCTGAAGTTTTGCCATTGAGTTTTGATACACCCTGTATAGAGCTGAAATAATTCATAGTGCATACAGATTTGGAAAGAATGTGGAAAGAAGTGGTTGTGGCCTCATTCCATGTTCTATCCAACTTTTCTGGAGGGGCTGATGAAAATCACGAGATCTGAACCAGGCATCTCCGACATAAAAGTCAGAAGCATTACTGCCTGAGCCAACTATGCTTGATGTTTCCGTTCCCTTCACATATAAAACGTGTTCCAAAACTGACTTTGTATTTTCATGATACAAATGTCCCCATAAGGTCCATGAGCTGGTTTAAAATACCATGGGATAAAACAAAACAATGATATAGGCAATTTGATGGAAAAACTTCACATGCAGACTTACAACAGTTTATTAGTTACCATCATCAAATTACACAAATTTTGCACAGCTACCAAGTTACTTTACATTCTGCTACAGACTGCCTTAATGAAAGTTGCATATTTCTTCAAGATAAATTACCACACAAAATTCTGAGACCCCTCTCCCAAAGTGGTGCATTAAAACTCCTCATGCATTTAAATCTGTTTCTGCAGCATTTTATTTTATAATTGTTGCTCCCTTTTTAAAATTCAATATTTCAGTCATGTGTCATTATAAGTTTAATGAAATGAAATGTGTCTGAAAGACCAAGTATCAGAGTTCATATATCTATTTTTAATTTATATAGCTGTTACATTAAAAATTATATATATTTTTTAGTAAAATTCCATACTTTTGGCTTCATTCTCAAAAAGCACACCACTGTCGTCAGTGACATGCATTTCAATTCCCAATATGTGATCATAAAGGTATGTCTGATTTATGCACATTCACTATATGCAATTCTGACTGGCATGTGGTGTTTAACAATGAAGTACGATCATAGAAGCTGAATGACAATACTACCTCCAGCCTAAATACACACTCACATGTTTGATTATTGTGACATTTCACTATGATTTACTACAGCTACAGCTGCCTTACTGATAACAGATGTTTCTCATTGCTGTGTGTGCTGAATTTGCACTTCCTCTGCAAGTTCAAGATACTGTGGATGAAATAACTTTGCAACTAAAGCTATTTGTTCTTCCAAACACTGACTGCAAAATAATTATCTTGTACAGACTATGAAATCATCACTAAAATGATTACACCAATGGAAACACTGTTGGAACTCCAGTGGCACATACTGTGAAGGTCTTTACAGTTATGGTGTAGTTTTCAGTACCAGCCCATAGAGTACTTTCTAATAACCAAAATCTTACCTTCAGACACTTCTTAGCCTCTTGCTGAACACTGAGCCCTTTCATGACTCTAGAAGTCATTTGCCATATGGTAATGTTAGAAAAAGGGTGCAGCACACAAGGCCACCTTTCAGTTTTCACAACTGTACCTTGTTTCATGATGTTGACCGTTACTGTAGCAGCACTGAGGGGGGATGAGGTGCATTCATCCTTGTCAGTGGGGTGGTTTTCAGTGGTCTGCCTCCATTATATGATATTTTGAAATTATATTTTCTTTAAGTTTCAGTCGAAATTCCATCCTGGAAATGCTGCTGCCATTTTTATTTTTTCAGTAAACATGAATTCAAACAGTAGATATCAATCAAGTGACAGAAGTGCTTCTGACAGTATTGTTTTAGTCTACTCCTTGTGGTGCAACAGCTTGTCAAGTAAGCATCACTGAGGTCCACACCTCCTGTCCTGGAATTATAATCAATAACTACACTGGGCTTTTCCATATCTTGCCCTAGAACCCTGGTTGGAACCATTCTGTTATCATGAGTGGTACTTGTAAGACAAATATCTCTTTTGTCTTTCCACTTCATTACCATAGGAGACATGATGGCACAGCGACTGGCTATGGTCTGGACAACCAAGGGGCTGGAGTTCGAGTCTCAGTAAGGTCAAGAATTTTCTCTTTTTCAAATCATCCAGACTGCCTCCGGGGCCCACCGAGCCACCTATCCAATGGGTACTTGGCGCTCTTTCCCTGGGGGTAAAGTGGCAGAGGCATGAAGCTGACCAATCACCTCCAGTTAATGCTGAGGTCCAGAAAATGTAGACCTATACATCCACTCCCCTACGCCTTCATGGAATAGTGCTTAATTAGTTGGGCACACAGACAACTTTACCTTTACCTTACTTCATTATCATTAGTCTGTCTTTGTAGACTGAAACACATTCTCCCTTTTTCAGTTTTATTTCAGGAGGGACAACCTTCCTCTTTTGATGCAAGGTTCCCATAGCATCGATCTCTTTGCTGCATAGCTTATGGAACAGATCTGCGTTTGAAAACCAACTGTCCATAATTACATGGTATCCCTGATTCAGCAGAGGAACCCACTACTTCTAAGCCAAAATTCCATACATAACCAGATTTGGCTTCACACAATTTAAATGATTTTATACTAAATCTAGCACATTTTGAAGGAATGTATACCTTCCATGACAAACATCCCCTCCACATCATCAAAGACTCATTTACTGACACATCACACTCTGGGATACATACGCTCCCAAATATGGCATTTAGGTGATCAAGTATGGGTTTGGCTTTAAACAATCTTCTGGAATGGCAACTGGCCTCATCGTAACTTTCGTTCTCAACAAAATGAAGAAACTTTAGTAGAAGGTGAAACCTCCTCTCACTGAACAGGATCAAAAGTAAGGGTGTTTCCAGAATTTTCCTCTGGGAAAAACAGCTCCTGTTATCTGGTTTCTGGTGAAGTCCTTGTAACAGAAAGAATGCCAGCAACTTCATTATTTCATTTCTGTTCATCTCCTTCCAGTGATAGGTCATTGATCTTAGTTTTTGACTAGGTGTGTTTTCAAAATAATTTTATGCATATTGATTTGTTTCTGTGGCTATTACTGCCACAATTTCTGGTGTACAAAACAACCCTAAATATTCCTGGGGGTTACTGTGGTGTTCCAAATCAACATTTATGCCAGGCTTGCCAGTAAATCGTAAATCAAAAACGTGGTCATTCGGTGCCTGATTTTACCCATATCCCATGCTGCATGCTGCTGTTGTCACTCAGACTTTCTTCATCAGAACTCACACTCAGTTCATAATGTGACAAAATTTTCACATTTATTTACTGTCACCATTACATTGGCTCTCAGAAATATCAATATATTAATTTTCTTGCAACAGTTCATATAACACCTCATTACTCACACACACTCTTTTGCTAGGACCTGCAATAATGTTTCCTATCAAAACTTGAACCCACGCCAACTATCAAGCAAATCAGCACCTTCCTGTCACACTCTGATGTAACTAGAAGATCTAACAAGCACATCGTACAAATTTACATTGCCAAATGTCATCATATCAACAACAGTGTAGCTAGAAACATGCATGACATGTGCAGATGTCATACTCACTACAAAACAGAGTAGCACATCACCTGCTAAGACATCATTTAACTGGAAATTGAAATGAAACATNTCCTTCCAGTGATAGGTCATTGATCTTAGTTTTAGACTAGGTGTGTTTTCAAAATAATTTTATGCATATTGATTTGTTTCTGTGGCTATTACTGCCACAATTTCTGGTGTACAAAACAACCCTAAATATTCCTGGGGGTTACTGTGGTGTTCCAAATCAACATTTATGCCAGGCTTGCCAGTAAATCGTAAATCAAAAACGTGGTCATTCGGTGCCTGATTTTACCCATATCCCATGCTGCATGCTGCTGTTGTCACTCAGACTTTCTTCATCAGAACTCACACTCAGTTCATAATGTGACAAAATTTTCACATTTATTTACTGTCACCATTACATTGGCTCTCAGAAATATCAATATATTAATTTTCTTGCAACAGTTCATATAACACCTCATTACTCACACACACTCTTTTGCTAGGACCTGCAATAATGTTTCCTATCAAAACTTGAACCCACGCCAACTATCAAGCAAATCAGCACCTTCCTGTCACACTCTGATGTAACTAGAAGATCTAACAAGCACATCGTACAAATTTACATTGCCAAATGTCATCATATCAACAACAGTGTAGCTAGAAACATGCATGACATGTGCAGATGTCATACTCACTACAAAACAGAGTAGCACATGACCTGCTAAGATATCATATTCACTTAACTGAAAACTGAAATGAAACACCTAGAAGTGTTCAGATCAAACCTAACAAGTTCAATGGCTACCACATTGATACTATTGATGACAGGAAATGGAGAAGTACGAGTAGAAAGGTGTGATGACAAGACAGACGGATATATATGACATCAGACTTGAGATTATCATGGTGGTGAATATTAAAACAGCAATCTTCAGGAACGTGGCTCCATGTAATCCAGAAGATGATTACCAGTGTTCCTGAGAAGCACACTGACACCATCTTCAGGTTCCACACGGTGTCACATCCCAGATGACCACCACTTAACAGACATGATTACAACAGAAGCTCATGTTTCCTTACAAAGTGAGGAATATGGAATAAAAATCCCTCTCTACATATATCTGTGTCCATCAATCCGTCAAATATAACATACCCCTCTCTCACAATAGAAAATACTGTCAAATTTGGGCTGAATACATGAGCCATGCTCTTCCTCATTTAATATCTCACCTCGAATTCAACCCCTGACAGTTTCCCTATCAGTCTTCTATACCTCCCCTGCTCTGGGTATTCACTATTAATGTTTCTTACTCCAACCACTTTATAATAAATTCTAAGTAACTGCCATTTAACAACAGCTTGGAAATGCTAGTTTGCCATAAGATTTTCTTCATTTTGCCATGAGTGCAATATCTTGAGTGAAAAGGTCTGTGTGAACAAAATTGAAGTTATGCTTATTTTAATATTTCTCTTGCACATGCTCCTTTTTCTTATTTATCTGAAAGGACTTTAACCAATGCAGAATTATAATAATATTTATGAAGACTTAACTGAAATTGAATAATAAAACTAATAAATTCAGTTCTCACCTGAAACAAGGTCTGACTAGAAGGTCTGCTGGTTGGTCCAAATGGATTGAGGTTCATTTCATCAAGACGGGGAGATGCACCAAGTTCACTTAAATGTGACAACTGTTGTGTAAGAGCCATTGTCCCACCTTCTGCGACTGTCAGTATCACCCAGATAACATCTGTTTCATACAAACAAAATTCATTAAAAAATTTAAAAATCTGAATTATGTAGTTGAGATCTAAATTATTTATACATACCTCAATTGACAGAACATTCAAACTGTAGCATTATACCTTTCAAAAACTGCTCCCGTCTGAAGTCAAACTGCACAGGTTGGTCTACAAATAATGTTCTAGACTTGTATTCAGGAGGTGCCGCTATTCTGCCTGAGAGTTATCATGGTCTTCCTCAGTCCCTCCAAACAAATGCCAGCATAATACCTCAATTAGGACATGACTGCTTCCTTCCAAATCCTTTCCAATTCATCTACCATCCTACCACTCAATGCTATATAGTCTTGATACTAATAAAGCATCAGTCTCTATGAACATCTGCATATCTCAGTGAGATACATAAAAGTTCACACCTTCACAGAGCTCTCTTAAAAATATGCAATTATGGCATATTATCCAGCCAAGGCCACCAAGGTTCTAAAAATGAAAGTGTGTGGAATCAATTTACTCTTCCAATAATTTGACTGGATTACAATTGTTCTAGACAGCTGGGATTTTGTAAGGCTTGATTCAAAAATACAGATGTCATTTTCCATTTTAGAAACATTCTGTAACTGTCCTGAGTTTGTTTCCATTCCTTGGTGAATATTTTCCACAAAAGTCATAAAATGTGTAGCAGGTTGTGATCTTTAGATTTAATTCACTTACTGTTGTCCTTCAGAGACAGGACTTTTAACATACCAGCATGTGAATGACTGAGTTTCATTTTCACTGCTTACAGTGTCAAAATCCAGTTATATGAGCAGACTTTTGGAATACCTAACAAACTAGTGGATGTTGCCTTCCATAGATCTTTGGTTAGTGACCATTATTGCTTCCCCAATAGCTGATGGACAAAAATGCATACCGAATAGTCAACAGAAAAATCTAAATTTGTCAATGAGGGACTGGTCACAAGAAGGACAGCTGTCAGCTGGAATTTTTGGGCACCTCATCAGTGAATTGGCAGTTCCATTGAACTACTGGGGAAAAGTAGTAGTATTGCCAGCATACCTACAACAGCTAAACAAAACTAGTGGATGTTGCCTTCCATAGATATAGTGATCTGTGGTTAGTGACCATTACTGCTTCCCCAGTAGCTGATGGACAGAAATGGATACTGAATAGTCAATAGAAAAAAATAAATTTGTCAATGGGGGACGGGCCACAAGAAGGACAGCTGTCAACTGGAATTTTTGGGCACCTCATCAGTGAACTGGCAGTTCCATTGAACTGCTGGGAGGAAGTAGTAGTACTGCCAGCATACCTACAACAGATAAGATGTTCGAACACATTGCCTCCAGTGTTAACAGGCTTCATTCAGGCAACATATATGAACTTTTGGTGTCAGGCAGGTGAAAGATAATGAGTGTAATGGTGGTACTGGCAACAACCAGCAACTAGAGCAAGTATTCTCTCCTGCCGCTGAGGGTACATAAATTGGATTCCCTACAAGACTCAGAACAGAAATTGGGCCCAGGCTATCACCGAAGTTCAACCTTCCTTAGGGGAAAAAAATGAGACTGTTATCAATGAAAACTGCAGGTGAGGACATCAGACATATCCTCAAGACTACAGTCAAAAGGGTAAGAATTTATTTATAGTTCCGCCAATCAGCAAACATGTCAAATGGTTCTATAATAACAGGCCATGGGAGGCAACTCTGCTGAAAGCAAATGATGCAATAGGACTCCCCAGTCCTGCTATGTGTTCTAAGATTCATGATACAATCAATGAGGCTCCTAAGAGTCTGCTAATCTGCCTCAAGGCCTATAACTCAGAACTCATAATTGAAAACTGGAAAATCCTCGAGAAGAATGCTGAACTGAATAGCAACGGACTTATCCTCCTAGCAGACTGGAACTTGGGTAATGCCATTAATGAAACCAACTGCAAGGCCTTGGTGATTTTGTGGTTAGAATATTAGTGCAGGTCCTGAATTCAGTCACAGCTGTCACCACCCATCTTAATGAATGATAACATACCTGTCAGCATAATAACAATCAATTACTGGAAGGCAGGAACAGAACCAACTCCCAAAACGTTATGTATACCAAATACACCTCAGAGAATGGACAGTGTGCAACACTAGTACAACTTCAAATTTACAGAACATTCCAATGATTGTAATATAGTAATTACTCTATCAATATTCTTCTGTCCTTTCTGTGCTTTGCAGTAGATTCATCTCAGTTAGATAGAACATTCTTCAGTTCACCCTCTTTCATATATTTCACATATCGATTATATATATATGTTCTTAATTACGTTTCTTAACACTTAATTATTGCATATAATAATTTACATGATTTATACTGTGACATGCTGAGCTATGAGCCCTCCCCCACCCCCCGCCAGCCGTGATGCGCCGAGCGAAGCCGAAGCGAGCCGATGTTAGCCGAGTCCTAGGATCCTGGTCGCTAGGCAACGCGAGTCAACAGCGGTGACGTCACCAAGTAGTAACAGCGGTTACTTCCGCTAGCGCCAGGCAACAAGGGTGCCTATTACGTGGCCGTATTGTCCGATCGAGGCTACATAGGGAGCAGCGAAGGCTATTCACAGTTAGTTGTACTGAGTCAGTCAGTGAGTCCTAGAGCTACCGCCGAGTTAGCCAGCAACTAGTCAGTTGTATTGTGGCATTTGGAGTGTACTATTTGTGATACTGCAGATAGCAGTAATCGTAAATCTGTAATTTGGGTGACTGTAAGTGCGAATGTGAAATAAAATTCGCTATATAAAATACGGCGTGAACTTATTTGTCGCGATATACGCCCGATACGCGACAACTGGTGTCAGAAGTGGGATTTGGACTTACACACGTGACCAACGGGATTCGATCTCAAGACACGTAACAATTTGGTGTCAGAAGTGTTACGAACTTAAACACGCCACAAACAATTATTGTGCATCGAGTGTTCTACTGCTACAAAATGGAAAGACAAGATATTGAAAACTTGTTCGAACGCCTAGTGACAAAACTAGACGCCTACCAAGAGAAGGTGTTGGCCGATAGGAAGGCTGACAAAGAAGAAATGGAGGCTAATAGGAGGAAAGACAAAGAGGATTTCCTGGCGAAATTAGAATCCAGTCAAGAAAAAACAAATAGCCTGCTGGCGAAGTTAGCAGTTAGGGAGCAGCGAAGGCTATTCACAGTTAGTTGTACTGAGTCAGTCAGTGAGTCCTAGAGCTACCGCCAAGTTAGCCAGCAACTAGTCAGTTGTATTGTGGCATTTGGAGTGTACTATTTGTGATACTGCAGATAGCAGTAATCATAAATCTGTAATTTGGGTGATTGTAAGTGCGAATGTGAAATAAAATTCGCTACATCAAATACAACGTGAAGTTATTTGTCGCGATATACGCCCGATACGCGACAATACACACACATACACACAGAATTCTGATTAAAATAACTCATATCTAAAAACTCTCTAATGCAATACTGTTTGCACAAAATGTTGGTATGCCAGTAACTGTCAGTAAATTTAACTTTATCTATAATATGGTGACTTTTTCATTGTATCTGTGCTCCCTTAAATTATAAAAAGCTTATGGATGAAACACTTATTATGATTACACACATTCAACTGCGTCACACTACAATATAATATTTCTAACACTCTGGTGTTACCTCTAGTCCTTCTACAGTGATATTGTAACCTCTGTGAGGTGGCAGAAAATACTAACCTCCAAAATATGAACCTGATGGAGTTGACATTCTCCATTTGCTCTCATAGATGCCTGGCTGCTCTGGACTGACCATGTCAACATTCAAATCCATGGTGCAGCTAGGACCAACAGGCCGAACTGGTATTCGCTGTGCAGCACAAAGCTGATCCCCTCCACTAAACTGCAAGCAACATCCCAGTGGCCAAATCTCATCACCAATATTCTGCACTCGCCAGGTCTTGGTGAACCTATAGCAAAGAAATGTATTAATATGGGCTTTGCAAACTGATGGTCCACAAATAACACATAAAAATACAACAACTAGTTAAGTTAAGTACAAATCATGACAACGATCATAACAGATCCAGCAGCATCAGAGAATGCGAAAGAACAGCGAGACTTCACAAACAAGTGAAAGTGCAACCAATAACATAAGTTGAACTTTAATTCACGAACTTTTAACCGATAATAATAATAATAATAACAACAACAACAACAACTAAACTAGTTAAAAAAGAACTAGACACAGTTGTGAGCATAAATAAAATGAGACTGTAAAAACAAGTGAAAGTGTAACCAGTGACATGAATTGAACTTCGATTCATGAACTTTTAACTTTTAACAATTAAATTAGAATAATAATTTTAACCTGTGTTTTATAAAAAGAACTCGATATATTAGCGAGCATAAATCTGGATAAGATACAGGGTCGAATGAGTTAAAAGTGAATTTGACTGCGTGTAATTATACAGCCGTGTTCATACACCTGAAGATGACCCCTTGAGGTTGAAACATGTAGTGATAATAAAAAACGTGTTGTGTAGTCGGTAAATTCACTCTACTATTAATTAAACACACAACAGGATGCAAGAAACGATTAAAAAATGGAAAAACTACCACATTATAACTTTTCCTGGATAGTCTCTTTCAAAAATCAGAGATACCATGTATGCGAGATGTTTCCTCTGGAGACAAAACAATCCGGAGGTAAACTACTCCCCCAGTCGGATCTCCGGGGGGGGGGAGTGTTTCTAGAGGAAATATCATGCAGGCATTACAACAAGAAAAAGTGCGAAGATCAGAAGGAACATCATGGCTACAAGACTGGAACATGGAATGTGAGGACCTTGAATCAAGCAGACAAATTGGAGAATTTGAAAATGGAAATGCAGAAGAATGAAGTGTCTGTTTTAGGTGTCAGCGAAGTGCAGTGGAAAGGACAAGGTGAAATAAGAAGTGGTGATTATAGTGTATTATTCTGGAGGTGAACGGGCTGAAATAGGTGTGGCAGTAGTGGTGCATAAAAGTGTAGTGAGGAGTGTTGTTAAAAAGATTGATTGTAATGACAGTATTATTGCTCTGAAGTTAAAGGTGGAAAAAGTAGATATACGGTTATGCAAGTGTACATGCCAACATGAGAGTATGAAAATGATGAAGTGGAAAAAGTGTATAACACAACTGAAGAAATTCTTCAGGAAGATGGAAGCGGTGACACAAACAGCATCATATTGGGAGACTGGAAAAGCACTGTTGGATCATATCAGAATATTGTTGGATCACATGGACTAGGAAGACGGAATCACAGGGGTCAAATGCTTATTGACTTTTGTGAAAGAAATGGACTGACTGTTACCAACACTTGGTTCAAGAAGCCAAAGAGAAGACTTTACACATGGAAGGCACCTGGGGATTGGAGGCGGCATCAGCTGGACTACATCCTTGTGAAACATCGATTCAGAAACAGTGTGAAGGATGTGAAGACGCTGCCTAGGGCAGATATTGACTCTGACCACAACTTGCTGGTTGCCAAGTTCCGAACCAGGTTGAAGAAAATTATAAGATTCCAAAAGCGCAGACCTAGATGGGATTTGGAGAAGTTATCTGCTCAAAGACAAAGCGTGCAGGAGACCCTAGAAGAGAAACTCAGTGCAATTGAAAGTGAAAGCGGAAATGCTGAAGTGCAGTGGAACAATATAAAAGAATGCATGTTAGATACTATTAGTGAATTGGTTGGTAAAGTCGAGAA